GCCCAGTCCCCATGTTTCCTCTATGATCCCTTTGCCCCTTCAGTGACGATTGTCTGCCAGTCCACAGCCTTTGTATCCCCTTTTCTGCCACAGTTGAGGAAGGGACTGCCATCTGCCATATGAGCCAGAGGTGGTAATGCCCACTGTCACTGCTTCTGTAATTCTGTGGTTAGAATCACTTTGCTTTCTGGAGTGGTTTTTTTTTTCTCTGTAGACAACACAGAGCAGAAATTTAGTACTAATTCCCAGTCTGTCTATCCCGTAATTTTGTTAACAACAGAAATCTACAATTCAGGGAGCTGGAGAGAGGGGTCAGTCATAAAGTGCTTGCTCCAAAAGCAAGAGAACCTGAGTCTGGAGTCCTACCACCCCCACAAAAAAGCAGGATGTAGTGATGTGGACTTACCATCCCAGCTCTGAGGAAGTGGAGACAGGAGGAGCCCCGGAGATTGCTGGCCAACGGGTCTAGCCAGTCAGTGAACTCCAGATTCAGTGAGCCATTCTGCCCCCCAAATAAGGTGGAGAGCCATTTGAAGGAGACACATAATACCAACCTCTGGCCTTCATACACATGTGTATACACACACACACACACACATGAATTTCTGTGCATACAGAATTCTAGGTTAGTTTATGGCTCTCCACTGGCTTTACCTTTAAGTCTAAAGTTGAGCAAGTCTGGGCAGAGGAGACCGGTTTATAGATGGAAAAAGGCTGAAGGAAGTAGAAACAAAAGCAAAAAGTTACTTTAAGGAAAACTTAGGGAGAAGAAGATTGAGCAACAAAAACTAATGGATTGCTTAACATCGGTTTACTTTAGGTACATTTTAATTAATTAATTGTGCTGGGGTTTGAACCCGAACCTTGCACGTTAGGTAAGTGCTCTACCGTGGGGGTACATCCCCAGCTCAGCTTCTCGGTTAAATAGATTTGTTGAGGTATGGTTGCATTGTAGGGTGAACGACTCCAGGCTGCTTTTTAGCTTGGCCTGTGAGAGGCTAGTGCTGGAACTCAGTCCAGACCAATGACCTGTGATTTTCACTTCACAGTCGTCACGCCTTTCATCCTTCGCCCTGGTGGGTTTGGGTCCTTTGTTCCTTTGCTTTCGTTTTATAAGGTGTTGGGAGGTCTGAAAGCGTATTCCACACAGGTATTCCTTGTGCCAGGCAGGAATAGTCTCAGTTTAGCTCCCACAGAAACAACTGCTCTCCTCCTCAGCAGTACAGCTGTTGTTGATTTATGTAATAATCAGATTATGTAACTACAGTGGCGTGTATAAATGGCATAAGAAGTTGATGAACAAACCTATTGACTTTTGGTATACATGTAACTTAATGGGAACAGAAGTACGCAGCCCTTCACTGATCCACTTGTAAAGCTAGAACCCCTTGGGATATGAAATCCATCAGAAGTTTGGAAGGTGAAAGTAACTTTCTGCAGAGAAAGAAGCCATGCTAACGAAAATGAGTTCACCAAGCATGTGCACCCCCCTCTCACCTCTCCCAAGCCAGGCAAGTACATTTGTCTCCCTGTAAGGGAGAATCAAGATCACAGTTAAGACAGCAAGTTAAAGCAAATGGAGACGAACAGCCTCTGCTCTAGGTACATGAGTATGACATTCGTCTGTTGTTATGAATACCTGATTCTGCTTCTGGAACATCCAAGTTATTGAAGTCAACCTGTCTTAAAAATGTCATCATCTGGCTCTGAGGTTAAGAGCACTGGCTGCTCTTCCAGAGGACCTGGGTTCAATTCCCAGCAGCCACGTGGCAGCTCACAACTGTCTGTAACTTCATTTTCAGGGGATCTGACACTCTCACAGCAATGCACATAAAATAAAATAAATGATAAAAATTCCATCATCAAGCAATTGTCATCTCTCTAGGTCAAAGCTCTTTCCTGTCCTTGACATGGATGCTATTGAAGTGTTCAAGCTGTGTACCCGGATCCTCTACCATGTCTGGCCCAACTCCCAGAAATCCCTTCCTTTGACTTGGTCTTCTCATTGGATTTTTGGCTTTGATTTTGGAGGCTTTGCTTTGCACTGTCCATTCCCTTCAGTCTCCCCTTCACAGGTACCTGGGTCTACCAGCCTCTCGCCCTTTGTGAATTCTTCAGGACAAATTTACTTGCCTGGCTTGGGAGAGGTGAGAGGGGGTGCACATGCTTGGTGAACTCATTTTCGTTAGCATGGCTTCTTTCTCTGCAGAAAGTTACTTTCACCTTCCAAACTTCTGATAGATTTCATATCCCAAGGGGTTCTAGCTTTACAATCAGAAGTTCTGGGAAGTATAGAGTAACTGCTTATATTTAGCAACTCATGTCTGGCCTTCTCCCTACTCTGGCGACTTCCTATTTCTGAAACTCTTCATCTTCCAGTGCCCTAGAAAATAGAAGTCTCTGTTTTGAGCTTTCTAGACAACTTTGAAAAGATATGCATTTAGCCTTTTCCTCTGTATAGTAATCTGTTTGTTCTGTGGTTAATATGCAGACAGAAGCAAATGAATGTGAATTTGCTTTTGTAAATAGCGATTAAAACAGGGAACTTTTGGGGAGAAAGGTTAAATGTGGTTAAAGTCAAGCTGAGAAAACTACTGATTGGAAAGTAAGACTCCTAAGGTCAGGTATGCTCTAATCCTTCAGCGATGAAGAAGGGAGTGCTTTGAGACTGGAAGTTAAAACTTTTCCTTAATAGGGAAATTGTAGCATCGCTTCTCCAAGGAATTATTTTGTTTTTATACAATTGCATAGATTTCTCGGTTAAGGTTACTATCGTTATGATGAAAAAACATGACCAAAACCAACCTGGGGAAGCTAGGGTTTATTTCACTCACAGTTCCACATCATCAAAGTTCATCACAGTTCATCATCAAAAGCAGTGGGGGCAGGAACTCAAGCAGGACAGGAACCTGGAGGCAGGAGCAGAAGCCATGGAGAAATGCTGCTTACTGGCTTGCTTAGGCTGCTTTCCTTTAGAACCCAGAACTACCTACCCAGGTGTTCACCACCCACCATGGGCTGGGCCTTCCCCATCAATCACTAATTTAAATTCTGTACAGGCTTGTCTACAGTTGGGTCTTATGGACATTTTCTCAATGGAGGCTCCCTCCTCTCCAATGACTCTAGCTTGTGTCAAGTTGACATAAAACCAGCCAGCACAATAGGTAATGTCAATGATGCTTCTTTGGGGATTTTAATGTCAAAGATCCTTCTTTGGAGCAGAATTTAAGTAATTCTTCCTATCTTTCATAGCTTATAACTTTTTCAAATATCCATTTTGTTTCTGCAAGTCTACAAGCAGTTCCCTCTCAGGGTGGAGAGGGTTTCTGACATAAAACTCAGTACCTGTGTGCCAGAGCAGAGGTTTCACAGACTCAATCTATGAATGAGGAGATATTATTATGTTAATTTACTAGATGGTGAAACTGAGGTACAAGCTACCAGCTATAGTAAGTAGCAGCTTTTATAGAATGAATAGAATGTGTGGGTGAGTCAGACGCCTAAGTTCTAAGGATAGTCCACGTGGAAAATAGTTCCACTTGGCCGACTGACCAGCTAAATCCTACCTAAGTGTATTGCAAGCATTTGGCTTTAGTGAACATGCAAGATTCTTTCTAGAGACCATATGATTATTAATAGTTTTTTTGAGACATGGTCTCACATATCCCTGGCTGGACTGGAATTCACCATGTAGATCAGGCTGGCCTCAAACTCACAGAGATCTGCCTGCCTCTGCCTCCTGAATGCTGGGATTAAAGGTGTGTGCCATCATGCTGACAGTATGATTATTTGATAATAAATGTTTGATGAACTTGATTTGAGAATATCTTTTGCTAACATACTCCTGGAGCAAGTCTGTAGAAAAATCCCTAGAACAGTGGTTCTCAACCTGTGGGTTGTGACCCCTTCCACAGGGATTGCATAACAGATATCCTGCATATCAGATATTTACATTATGATTCACAACAGTAGTAAAATTACAGTTATGAAGTAGCAACAAAAATAATTTTATGGCTGGGGGTCACCACAAGAGGAAAGGGTCCCAGCATCAGGAAGGTTGAGAATTACTGCCCTAGAGCAACCTAACTCCTAATTGGAGATCAAGATGCCTGCCTAACAGATATCAATAAATGTGAATGACCAAGATGACTAAATTTGTAGCCCCCTTCTTTACTTATGGCCAATGAAAGAGAAAAATCTAGTTCAATAGAGTCAAATGGTGTAAATTTATCAGCAGTCACTAACAGAAACTCACAGGACTATAACCTCTAATATGGAGACAGTTCTGCAATGTGAAAGGACTTAGAATGCAGGTAAGACCTACTCTTAAAATCTCAAACAAGCAGCAGTAATAAGGTCCTAAAACTATCTAAAAATCCTTCCTAATGTAATGATACTAAACTGATCCTTGAGAGAGACTTTGAAATAAAAGATCACCTGTAAAAAGGTAAATCAGATCACTTGCAAAACGAGAACTATCTTAATTAATTTTGGTCCTTGTAAAAAACGAGAGCTATCTTAATTAATTTTGGTCCTAGGTCAAGCACAACTTTATGAGGCAGTTCTCATGTTGGCTTGTGTGCGCATGTTCACGTTTGTGTGTCAGCCCGATGTTGACCTGCACTGTCCACTTCAGTTGCTCTCCATTCTGTTTTGGTTTGTTTGTTTTTTAAGATAGTTGCTCATCGAACCTGGAGCTCACTGATTGGCTAGGCTGGCAAACCATCAAGTTTCCTGGGATCTGCCTGTCTCTGGCTTCACAGGCTGGGTGACACCCGCCCATGGCTGAGCCTGGCTTTAAAACCGATGCTGAAGATCCGAACTCAGTTCCTCGTGTTTGGGCTGCAGGCACTTTACCATCTGAGCGTCTCCCCAGCTCTAGAAGCCGATTCTTCATGATTATGCAGTACAATGTTTGGCTGTAATTACAAGATGAATCCACAGACTCTACAATTAGTATGGAAAGAAGAGAAGCATACAAAGATGGAACACACACCATGCACTGTGGTATCCTTTATTTAAAAATGGTGAGTTAACTGCAGTTGTAGTGTTCTCATTCACCATTTGGATGGCAGAATAAACTGAGAGAACATTAACACAGTCCCAGGAAGGCATTAACCTATAAACACACGTATAACCACCCATGCACGCATACACACAACATACACACAAAGATTATAATATAAACACAAAAGTGATGAAAAACACTTCGAATGCTCTAAATCAAATTAAAACCCCTTTATTATAATAAACTGTGGCACTACTGTGGCTATAATGAAAGCTATTGTAACTGCTTAAGAAACAAAAAAAAAAAAAAGGGAAAAATACTGGCAATTTGAAACTAGCAGCAAAAGGCAGCCAGAGTAGGATGGGAGATAAGAGTAGGAAATACCAAGTTTCTAATGTCGGTACTGTGTAGGACTGCACAGACGCAATTTTAAATTGATTTTAAGGAACTATTAAAAAAAAGTCCTTTGAAATATTAACTTGCGCTTTACAAACAGTGGAAAAGAAAAAAGCATTTGGAATGTTACACACACATACAGAAGAAACATACTAGGGTATCAGTTTATGGTCTTTGTTTATGACCTCCAAAAAGTTGTATAAGAAAAAAAAAAAATGTAAGTGCCAATGAAGTGAAAGTCAAAAATTCCTAAAGATGCAAGTCTGAGTGCGCTAATCAGGTCTAATAAGATAGCTCGAGGCTGGGGGCAAGGCAAGACTGATGCAATTCAAGAGGGAACACAATGGTGGGCCCCACAAGGCAGGTCAAGCTCTTTGAAGAGAATGAGGATGCATTCCACTCAGACTGTCTGGAAGGAGCTTCCAAAGTACATGGAGTTCCACAGTCGCTCACCAGTTGAAATCAGTTTCATCGTGCCCAATAAATAATTAAAGCCAGCATTTCAGCAAACCGGGCTTTCTACATCCAGATGCAGAAATATTTACTGCACATGCAGGCTGATAGCTTGTTAATGGCACAAATATGAATCCCGGTTTAAGGGAAAAAGCACATTAGCAAGGGTCTTTTCCTTTCTTTCTTTCTTCATGGATTCTCATGCAAATGTCTGAAGCTGCCAGACGCTTGCAAAGAGGGGCGAGTTTAGTTTCCTACGGATTTTTAGAGGAAAGGAGATTTTATTTTTCCAAAGAAGCCAGAGTCATCCATGAGCAGGGGCCCCCGTTTTCAGGATGTAAGAAACATAATTAACGTCCTCATTGCTGCAACGTAGGCCGGGTTTGGAGCCAGGAAAACTGGCAGGTGGAACGGGGAGAGAAATGGGAGCTTTGAAAGTGGAGAGCTGGAAGGCAGTGTGCCTCCTGTTCAGAATGGCTCAGCTGCTTTCAGAATGAGACACTTCAGGATGGGACAAGGCTGGTTCTCTAGATCGGGTTGTGGGGGAGGGCGTGGCAGAGAGGCATTCTACCTCCAGGGAATCTGGGCTGAGCTGCAGCAGGAGGCTCAGGGCCCTGGTGGTATCATTACTTTTCAGGAGTGTATTCAGTTGGGAAGTGTATGACTTTTCCCAGGTAAATATTGCTTTTAGTGATTCTCTCTCTAAAATCAAATTGGTTAGACAAGTTGCTGGTGATTCCCCCCCCCCCCCCCCCCCCCCCCGCGCCCCAGCACACACACAGAATCTAGCTGCACTAGTGTCTTAAGGTGCTATCTAATTCAAATTAATGCCCATCAACAACGCTGCTGGGTTATCACCTGCTGTTGCTGATGAATCGACCTCCCAATGACCTAACTAGATAATCTACCACACTAGGTGCTTTTTCTATCTCGAGATTTTGAGCTTTAATGAACCAGTCCTTTTAAAATGACGTGGTAGGAACTGCTTCGGTTTGGCTGTGCGTCAGTCACTCTTCCTCCTCTTCCTCTCCCCCCTCCCCCTCCCCCTCCTCCATAGTTTCCCACGATGAGCTCGGCAGTGCAGGTGGCTTCTCCCAGGCTGTTGACAGCCTTGCAGGTGTACTTGGCGTCATCGTCCCCACAAACATCGCTGATGACTCAGAGAACAGTTCCCCTCTTCGTCATAGTCTATCTGGAAGTGGCGGGACTCCCTGATGGACTGGTCGTCCTTGAACCAGACGACCTCGGGGTCTGGGTAACCTGCAGCACAGGGAGGGAACACACATGGCAGATTCGGTTACTGGAAATTCTTACCCGCATCCTCAAGTGGTTCTCGAGCTGCCTCTGTTGATGAGAACATGAGGTTGGCTCTAAGGCCTATTTCCGTATTTAAGCTAGAGTATGGACATACGCCGTAAAGACTCATTTCTTAAACCTCACATAGAACATTCTGTTTGTTTTTGTTTGAGACAGGGTCTTGGTTTGAAGCCTGGATCAGTTTCCAACTTTCAACCCCCTGCCTCAGCCTTTCCAGCTGAGATTACGGGTCTGCACCATGAATGTCAATGACTCTTACAATGCCTCACTGCCAGTGATGGAGGGTGGTTTGGAAATGTTGTCTAAATTCTAACTGTGCAACGAAGGCTAGACAGCTTGATCAAAGTAAAATGTTTGAAAATTAAATGTATAAAAGCTTAACTTAAATTTGAACTAAAAGCTAAAATAAAAAAAAAACAGGTACAAGGGATCTTTTGGGAGTTGCACAAATTCTAAAATTGAGTTGTGATAGTTGTTGCATGATGTGAATTTGTGAAAACAATTCAGTTGTAAGCCTAAAATGGGTAAATTTACTGTATGCAGATATTAACTCCATACAGCAAGTAATGGCTCTATGAAACATCAGATAGGGGAGCTGCTAATACATCGAAGAAAAAGAAAACCTCTCTCAGTCTGACCCCAAACAGGTCACCTGCTTGTGTGTCTCTAGGGATGGGTCCCAGGGGCTGGCCTCATGTTATGCACTTACTAGTCATGTCTCTATAAAGATCAGTGTTAAAATAGATGGAATGAAAACACGTAAATATATGTGTACTATGTATTTTAAAATTGTGTGTCTACACATCCGTCACCGACTTTGCCTATGTGTTTTTTTAAATATGTAATGTATTATAACCAACTTGTTCCTAAATTTTGTAGAGGTATTTTTAGACAAAAAAAAAAAGAAAAAAAATGGTAACCCCTGGCAGTATAAAAATTATACACAAGGTGCCGGGCGGTGGTGGCGCACGCCTTTGATCCCAGCACTCGGGAGGCAGAGCCAGGCGGATCTCTGTGAGTTCGAGGCCAGCCTGGTCTCCAAAGCGAGTTCCAGGAAAGGCGCAAAGCTACACAGAGAAACCTTGTCTCGAAAAAAACCAAAAAAAAAAAAAAAAAAAAAAAAAAAAAAATTATACACAAGGCTCAAGAAGTCTAGCATTCTTTTCAAGTGTAATTTTGTTTTTATCAGAACAGCATCCATATGCTTGAGTTCTGCATCAGGGCTGTAGTCAGAAGTTATGCAAATACCAAGGAGATCATTTCAAAGAGAAAAAGCACAACAGATGATAACCATGCTGTCCTGATCCATGTTTCAACATTTCAAAGGGAAAAAAACCTCAGGAGATCCAGTGACAACAGAGAGGATCTGAGTGACAGGCCTCACTCCAGAGCTTTCTGAGGAGTCCCCAGTGTCAGGACCTGCGCATCCCCACAGGAAGCACATCCGTTAGACTCTGGGCCTGCTGCTTTAAGATGCTGGTCACAGTAAGAGACGAGGTCGGCAGGTGAGCCCCCGAGTGCACACAGGTAACACACACACACACACACAGTCCAAGTTAGGAAGCTGTGCTGTGCTTTGGTCTCGCATCACCTCCCTTTGAAGCTGCAGGAGAAATTAGCTGGCTTCAACTATGAAATCACATAGACAACACCTGACATGGTGTGGAACTTCTCACCAGCACCCGTACCCCCAAACTTATAAAAGTCCTATATCCCCTTTGTTTGGGGGATTGATTCCTGGTACTTTGCCATTCCACCCCCATCCTGTGCAGATTTTACTCAAAAGGCACTGAGAATCCCAGTACTGGAGAGCCAAGTACCCAAGTACAAGATGTGGCTGGCTGTAGCGGCCATGCTGGGCTATTGTGACCTCAGGGAGGCTGCTTGGTAAGTTTTTCTGCTTTACTTGGTCAGACCAAGACGGAAGATAACCCTCTACTTTGTTGGCACATGTGAGCACAGCCTTGAAGCCAAGAGGCCTGTCTCATCTTGCCCCTTATCTTTTTAAAACACTGTAACCTGTTGACCCAGAAAGGCCTTCATCATCAACTTTGCTAATTTCCTGGGACCCATGCTACGCTCCCTGAGGCCTCTGTTCCTGGCTCGCTCACTACTATGTGGCTGCATGACTTCCAGGAACAGAGACGCTACACAAGAAACAGAAAGAACATAAATTGGGGGCTAGCTCTGTATGTGGGGTCCCTGGTTTCCTCACCGTAAGCTGCTGTGCATGCTCTCCCTTTCCCTTACCAACCTACCATTTTTCTCTTTACTCTAAAACCTCTTTAAATTAAACAGGTTTCTACTTTTACACACGTGGCCTCCCAGAACCCCTAGGACCACTTGAGATGTTGGATATCATTTAACAAATGAGGGACCTGCACTGCACTCAGCAGCGTTGGGTCACCACCCAAGGTCACACAGCCTGCTGACAAGCAGTTAAGCTCGATGACTCCAGTCATGGGACTTTGTGCCAACGGCCCTTGCAGAGCTTCTTATGGGCAACCCACATGTTTCTCAGTGGCTTGCAAAGTCTCTGTTACATGTGTCCCACAGCTAACGAGGTCCATGGTGGTCCATGTAGGTCTAGTGGCTGGTATGAATTAGTATGAACTGGGGGGTGTGGAAAAGTCACTGAACAGCACTAGTCTTCAGGAAGTTCGGAGGGCAGAAACTGGGCCTTTTGGACCATAGGGACCCAGTGTCCCTTTGACTTTGCCTATTCCTATCACTCAAGGCACTACAGGCCCGACATCTTGCCCAGGGTCCCCTGTGCAGCCACCCCCATGTATAGGAAAGAAAGACCTGGCCACAGCTTACCTTCAATCTTGCAGTCAAATCTAGCCGCACTTCCCTCCACAACTTCCAGATCACGAATGGTCTTAGAGAAATAGGGCTTTACATGGGGCTTTTCCTCAGCAACAGCCTCGAGGAAAGCCTGGGAGACATCTTCTAGAAGGTCAAGAGGAGACCAGGTCATGTCTTCATTCCTTGCTCTCTCCCTAAGTTTAAAAGGCTTCTCTTTCTCTCTCTCTCTCTCTCTCTCTCTCTCTCTCTCTCTCTCTCTCTCTCTCTCTCTCTCAAACTTGCTATAATTTAGCAAATAGTGCAGTTTAGGGAAGTGAATCACAGCACGACTTTCTCCTGGGGATGTCTTGGCCTGCTGCCAAATGGTTTTTGGCAGCAGAGAGTACTGTGCCCAAAACAGGGAACTGCTCAGCCTCCCCCTTCCCTGATGCTGACACACTGAAAAAGAAAGTCATCTTTAAAAAGGATTTCTGGCTGAACTTCATGGTCTTCAGGATTCGGTTGAGGGTGTGAGGAGGACAGAATCTACTACTTTTCTGATCCTGGGACCCCTGGCCTTCCTGTTGTAGAGGGTCCATCACCGACTTCAGAGAAAGCTGCAGAACACCTGTAGCTCGCCAGAGTTCTGTTTTCCAAACGTATACAGCTTTCAAGATGCACAGCTGCAGACCAGGAGGTGGAGCAGACAGGTGCAGGGCAAAAACCAAGCCTCAGAGGAGCCCCTGTGTCCTCTCCTTCAGGCTATTTCGGGCTCCCCCAGAGGGGCAGCAGAAGTGATGCAGACTCTCTAGGTATGAAGATGCTCCACAGCAGCCAGCTCCCCCATCTTGTGCCCCAAACAGTTCTAGAATCCGTTTCCCACCTGTGGGTAACAGAAGCTTCCCCACAATGGGCATGAGGGAGTGTCTGGCTCAGGAAGAAAAGGGCCATCCCTATGTTCATTTAAAGTACCAAGAGGCCAAGGCCCTCACTGTGGAGATGACTAGGCTAGCCTCTTGCATGTAGCGGCAAGGAGCTAGCCCCATCAGTTCCGGGGAGGGCCTACTGACCGGTCTGCCCAGGCCACACATGTTTCAGCTGCATACCCGCTGTCATGGAATCTGGCCTGTATGAGTTAATTTTTCTTTAAAACAAAAACATAAGGCAGGAGAAATTGGAAGGATATTTTTAAAATGTTATATAACAATATGTGATTTTTATTTTATTTATTCTTGTCTATCAGTATACAAAAAAATCTCATTTTTTTATAGTAAGAAAAAAAGAGAAAGCTCTTAATAAAGGCTTTCTTAAGTCTTCCACAAAATTAGGCAAAAGAAGCTGATCGTCTAGTTCTATCAAACAAATAATAGCTTTTCCTCTGAAAATAGTTAACAATTAAAGAATAATTGCTAGAGATAGTAGTTGTCAGGGAAACCCCCGCAGTCCTTCTGAACTTCGCCACTGTAGAGAGTATTAAAAACCTAAACTAAACCCTAGATTCTTAAAACGCTCCTCGACCCGCAGCCCTTCCCCTCTCACAGGCGCCTGGGAAAACCCTGGCCCCCTTACCTTCGGACTCTAGTTTCTCTGCATTGATCGGGCTGGTCGGTGACCCTGTCGAGGATTTCCTGCCACTGAGCCCCGATATCATTGCCATAGAGGACAGTCTTCCGATGGCTCTCACAGCATTGCCCGTTTTCTGGAAAATAGACACGGAGGTTGGACTCAGGCGGTGGCCCTGGTTCCAGCGAGCAAGTCCTGATGATCAGAGGTGAAGAGCCCAGGCTGGAGGACGCGGCTGCTGGATGCAGGGCCTTTGGACTGAGCCCAGCCTAGCTCTGCTCGCACTGTCAGCGTGTCCGAAGATGTTCGGAGAATGGAATGGGTCCTGGAACTGATGTGTGCGTTAATGTGACTAAACAAGGTCAACACGAGACAAAAACTCTTTTCATACTGTGCTTCAACTCCCATAAAAGGGATAGTTTATATAAAGCAACTGCAGCCTGAGACAGCTCCAAAGACTTATTGCTGACTGGGCCCAGTGAGGCTGTTCTCATAAAACAATGCTTGCAACGGGATTTCAGCTGGTCAAGGAGGCAGTTACTACAGACCCCAGGGGTCCAGAAAAGTGAAGCCGCATTTTATTGACCTTGAGCGAGCCACTTGACCTCTCCAGTCTTCAGTTTCTTTCTGTGTACCAAGAAGGGGTTAGGCAAGGTGGTCTCCAAGGTCCCATTTAGTTCTGTTTATGATTGAGATAGTTCATCACTCTGAGGAAACACCCAGGCTGGCCCCAGCACAAGTCTGTGGCTGCACAGTGGAGCTGTTCCTCTCTAGCGTCCACTCGAGGGTCTAAGACAAACACTCAAACGGGCCGCTTGGGAGAGGGAGGAATTTCTGCTGAAGAGGATTGAGACTTGTCACATAATTTCTAGGCATTGTGAAAAGTCTATCTAGCACAGGATTTACAGCAAGAGATGCTTGCTGTACAATGGCACCTCTGTTTCTTATCATTCAATATAGCTTCTCAGCCTTTTTCCAAAGCCAGTGTTAATAGTTAAGATGACCCAGAGCATCTTCCTTCAGCGACCAGAGACTTGCACCCACGGAGCCGACTTTACCTCCGACTGGCTCCTTGTCGGAGCAAAAAGGAAAATAGCCTCCTCCTAGGCAAATGCCTTACCCCTCACTCAGCAGACCTCATACTGTGCTAGCAAAACCACTTTCTTCCTGAATTAATTTTATGTACGCACGGATTTCAGTGAGGCCTGACAATTTTGACTATTTGGAAAGCCGGTGTTTTCAATAAAAAGACCGGTTGTTTCAAAAGTATTTCAGAATGTTGAGGAATCATGCAAAAAGTGTGTGTGTGCCAGCATGGGTGTGCATGCGCCGCCACCCCCCCGCCCCCCCCCCCCCCCCCGGAGCTGAAGACTGAACCCAGGGCCTTGTGCTTGCTAGGCAAGCACTGTACCACTGAACTAAACCCCCAACCCTGTGTATGTGTCTTAAGCAGAGACCTGCTGTTGCAATCATAACTGCTTGTCCACGCTGCACTCTGCCCTCCTTTTTGCAACCTATTTCTGTGCACTTTGGACAGACATTCAAACTGGCTGACATCTGCCCATCGATCTCTTCTGCACACACACTGTGGAATGTGGGCATGTTCTTGGCTGTCCGTTAGCACAGTGGAAAGGGGTGGGGTGGGAATCTGAACAGAACCCAGGGGGTCCCAGGTAGGATGAAGAGAGAAGGTGGTGGCCCTTCGGAGCGAGAACACGCGGCAGCCTTCAGGCTCTCCTGTGGTGTGTCTGTCTGTCTGGTTGCTTTGCCAGTTTAGTGTGGGAAGATCCACCTTTTCCCATGGGCACCTACCTGGTTGGGAACTGATAAGGTGGCATCCATCCCAGTGGAGTCAAGATCTTAGCAGTTCACTTCCTAATCAGCTAATCCTCCCTTCTCAGATGACTAGCCCCTTTCCAACACATACTGGTTTGTTCTGGCCTCAGAGTTCTGGCCCAGATGATTCATTCCCAACAAGGTCAGTTCTCTGACCACTCATGACTCTGTGACCTTGTCCAAGTTGGCTCTCCCTTCTCTGAGCCTTGGCATCTGGATTTTAAATAGAGTCCAGAAGATTTTAATCTCCTTGCAGCTCTAGTTTCCCCAAAGGCTGGTTGATTCTTGTCTGGAATGTGTAGCGGGACCCCCACATTCTGTTTTGAGCTCCTGGGCTCCCTGATTCGAGACACATGGACTGAGGCTGATCAAGACTATATTCACTGCACGCTGTGGAGAGTCGGTGTCTTTCTTCTTCCTTGGTTTTATTTTGTAACCAAATTACAAATCCGAACTTATCAGAATGAGGCAAGCAAAAGTCCCAGGATTTCAAAGGGAATAGCAAATGCATTAAGAGCGGACACTATCATGTGCAGAAACTTCAGCAGACACAGACATTCATGTAATTTCTTAAGTGGGGATATTTTCAAGTGCTTAATAATGAATAATAATTTATTATTCATCTTTAAATTAATTTAGTTTAAATTAATAATTTAAAAAAAGTAATCGACATCAGAATCAATTCTTTGGAAACGGCTTTCTGTGTAACGGCAGTAGGGAGCTCTCAGAGCTGTCCAGTCTAGCTGCACGCCTCTGAGCTGAAAACTGTTACTTCACACAGACCTTTGGAAATTTCGGTACAAAATCAGCAGAGCCAAGTTTCAGTTCTTGAGCCTGTTTAGCGGAAGCCTCTTTCTTGGTTGGAGGACAAGGCTGGCTAAGGCTGTGTTTCCTGGCAGGCAAGGTCTGCCCTGGCCTCCTGAATACAGTCCCAGTTCCCCAGCTCTTGGAGAGCCAGCTAGGATGACCAGGACTGTTGGCCCAGGACTGCTCATCTCCCAGGACTGTTATCCGTGATAACAGCCGAACAATGCCTGATAAGCTTAGGCAAGCTGGTCGTCCAAGCACCAGCCTGCATGACAGAGCCCCTGACAAATATACAATAGCCATGAGCAGTCTCTATTTATCTATCTATATTAAAATATAGAACAGACTCCAATATTTTATCCTGTTATTTTTATACACATTGCTGGGGTCTCTCGGGTGCCTAGAACATAAATGCAGTTAACTTTAGCCCTTTAATTTCCACTCTTCTTTCTACTACTATTGCAGAATATTGGTTTAACTATGTAAAAATATGTCGCATTTAACTATGTAAAGATGTGTTGCATCTGTTTAACTATGTAAAGATGTGTTGCATTTGTTTATGCTGTAGAATATTTGTTTAACTATGTAAAGATGTGTTGCATTTGTTTATGCTGCAGAATATTTGTTTAAGTATATAAAGATGTGTTGCATTTGTTTCACCTTGCCTGCCTGAGGCACCTCATTGGTCTAATAAAAAGCTGAACAGCCAATAGCGAGGGAAGAAGCATAGGTTGAACTTCTGGGCAGGGAAGGTAAGTAGTAGGAGGAGAAGAGAGGGAAACACCAGAGGCCAGCCAGGAAGCAGGGAAGTAAGGCATGCAGAGTGAAAGAAAGGTAAAAAGCCCTGGGCAAAACATAGATGAAGAGAAACAGGTTAAATTAAAAGACCTAGTGGGACAAGCCTAAGTTAAAGCCAAGTACTCATAATTAATAGCAAGTCTCTATGTCTTTATTTGGGAGCTGGTTGGTGGCCCAAAGAAAAAGCACAACTACATAGTACCCCTCCCACACCCAGTCTTTTACATCTAGTTTGCAGACAGAAGCCCTGCTACCCTGCCCAACCCACCTCAATTGCTACACTTCATGCAATTGTCTTTGTACTAGTCTTTCAGTATGAACTGAAAATATGCCTTCTTTCAGAATAACTTTACCTAAAGATCAATCATATGATTAGACAGCCATGCCCCACCTAGCCTTGCATGGATGGATTTGTTACCAGGTTAGCTCCTTGTGTTTTGGAGCCTTTTGTTGGAACAGAATAGTTAGAAGGTTCCTTCTGGAGTTAGCATGACCACGTGTGTTCCCTGCTCTCTCTCCCTGTATAGCCCACTTCTACTCCCCTGTCCTGCTGCACGCCCCCTTGGCTACTCTGAGACGGAGCCCCCTATTTCTGGGGGAGCCAAGGTTCTAGAACTGGAGTTTATATGTGGAAAGTATTTCCCTAAGGAAGCAACCTAACAGCAGATCAACACAGCTGAACTGTTCCCAGTGAGATTACTCCCCGGGACATTCATGTTGAGTGAGATTTTTATGGACTAATTTGTGTACAATTTTGCAGAAAAGTCATTTCGAAATGCTTTACTTAAATTAAAATAGGGAAATAAGGTTCTTTTCTGCATTTGATCCCCACTTTTCCAGAAACTCCAATGGCCAGGAAAGAGCAAACGCAGCGATTAGGAGAGGAGCTGTGACATGTGTGTCCCTGGCTGCAGAGGAGAGCCCTTCTTTCCCCGTTCTCTCATCCACATCTCCTGTCTGTGCCCATGCCCTGGTCCTAGCACCCTCCTGGCTTGGAGCAGACATTCTGAGCTGACATGGCTGCTCTCAACCAGTGCTTCAGGCAACTGAGATCCAATTAAACTTGCCTCTCCGAAGGCTGTTTCTCTTTCCCTTCCCAAGAAGCCTCTGACATCTGACACAGACAACTTTGATTTTGTAGATACCTTTTAAAAAAAAATCAAGCATGCTTCTACTCGGACCTGAAAGGCCCCGGGAGGTGAGTGAGGCAGGTCTTCCCACCTATCTTGCATTTGAAGGAGTCAGGAGATCAGCCCAGTCCTTCCAACCTCCTTGTAGCAGGGCTCTGGCTGCCATGTGCTCAGGATGCCAGCCCCTTAGGCCCTGCACCTGCAGGCCCTTATGGTCTTTCCTCAACTCTTAACCCTTGTGTGAAGCTGTGTTTTCTAAGGGAACTGTGGTTTAGTCACCCTGTGTGCTAGTGACCAGTGTTCCATGAACTACTTTTTCTCCGTCACACGGACAGTCTCAGTGCTCCTAGCCCCGAATCTCCTGTAAGAGGTTCCGTCCTTTATGTCCAGTCCTATGTAGTTTCAAGGTGGGTCCAGTTTCCACCTGCCATTGCCTCCACCCCTGCTGTTGCTCCTTCCCCTCTGGGCTTTAAGTATGATCTCTACTAAATTCCTAGCTCCTGCCCCTGAAGGCTTTTCTTATAACCATGTCAGCGCCAGTGGAATGGCCCCCTTCTCCATCTACACTTACATATATGGTCATGGAGCTATACTGATCATTTATAATTCCTGGGGTGCCTGTGTCCTTTCATGTGACATTTGCTTTGGTTTCCCACTGCACTATACATTCCACATGGGTGTGGAAATCATGTCCTCTCCTGAAGCCTAAGAGTTTTACAATTCAAATTATGATAAAAGAAAGAATCAAGCAGATGGAGAAGATGCTAAGTGCTCTAGGGTTTGGATGAAAATATTACCATCTCGTTATTAGGGGCAGTTCTGTTATTGTTAACGCTGTGTACTTTGGAGCCAGGTTCTAGGCTTGATTCTTTGGTTTTCCACTGAGCCCTAAGATCCCAGTGACTTCTCTCATCTACTCTCTTCCTTGGTTTGTCTATAAAGTGGGGACACTAATCGCTGTGATAAGATGTAAACAAACGCAATGCACAGATGTGATGTTTAGTACTTATTGTTAATGTGGGCACACTGGAGAGGGGCTCTCCAAATTAGGTTAGCCTCTGGACATGCCTGCCAGGGACTGTCTGGATTAGGTTCATTGTGGTGAGAGAATCCACTTACTGTGGGTAAAACCATCCCATGGCTAGAGTTCTAAACTGAATAAAAAGAAAGCAAGCTGACTGTTCACTGATCTATTTCATGGCTGCAGATACAACCAGTGGCCCAATCTCCTGACACTGTGACTTCTCCACATAATTGACCATGCCTCATTTCTGAGCCAAAATAAACCTTTCTCCCTTAAGGGTGCCTTATTATAGTAAAAGGAAAAGAGACTAACACATACAGGAAATCCTTTGAATAAACTCTGATCCAGGCCAGCACTCCATACATATTAGCTACTGATGGCATTGCAGAATGCCACTGTGTTTTAGGCACTGTCCTAAAGACCTTCAAAATTTGTCTCATAATTTTCCACAATTTTTGTTATCAGTGTTATCCCCACTTGCTAGATAAGAACATGAATCCACAACAAGGTTAACCACCTTGCCTAAAGTTACCACTGTTTCCTCTTGGGAGCACACACCCCCGCCCACAAACACACAGGGATAATATATGACCATCATGCTTCCCTATAGGAGCTCAGCTTCTCTAGGACTGTCAGATACTCTTCAGGTCATCCCAAGCCAGGAAGACTGGACCATTAGCAGTTTCACCTAAGGGGGCAGGCTACTCAGGCCTCTGGTCCCCATGAGACAAAGATGAACAGGACTGGAGTTTCCTTTGAGCTAAGGACTTTGTGCTCAGGGCCTAAGTAACTCTGTACCTTCACCAGCTGTCTACACTGGACTTAAGTCATTTCAGAAACAGACTTGCTTGGAATGCAGCTAGGGTCACTTGGGCCTGAGTAAAGCTAATCTGAAGAGCAGCATCCCATCCCCACCGAGCCCACGTTACCTGCCACTTCCTTCTTGCCATGTACTTCTTCATCCGATCCTTGGACAGCTTCTTGGCCTCCATGTTCTTGGTGTCCTTCATCAGCCATGGGTGCTGAAGGCATTGGGTGCAGTCCAGACGGTTTCTGATGGAGGCAGAGATCAGAGGATTTCTGAGCAGGAGGGGACCTCAGAGATGAAAAACGGGGAAGCCACCTGCCCCTGATTCCACAGGGCACAGCCCAGGGCTGCCCTTCCCAGCTCACACACAGTGATGGGGGCACTCTTTCTCTCCTTGCTCTGGATTGCACTGACTGGACCCAGCCTAACCACCGGCAGAGTCTCAACCTTCTGGGGTCCAAACAGTTACAAGGCAGACGTGCCTGACACCATATTCCAGGGGCGGGGGGTTTGCCATTCTGCTGGTCACATGGGGGTCTGATCCTTTTGTCTTTCCAAATAGGGGATGAGAAGGAAACGCTAAGACAAAACCTGTGAGAATCTCTGACGTTTCATGTCTTCTAGTGTGGCTGAGTATCAGGGTTCTCCTGTCACAGTCCAAAGAGGTTGTGCCCTACCTACAACTCCTAAATTAGAGCAGCCTAAGGACGGCACTGCAATTCATTTACTCATTCTGAGAGCTTTCGGAATCGAGAAACATTTCAGTCATCACTTTAAGAGCAACAAGACTAACAGAACCAGATGCTAACAGCAAAGAAAAGCAGCCTGAAAGAAGCACAGCTCAGTGTGGGGGGCTTTGGATAGAGGGATCAGGATGTTTCAAGTTGACTTATACTCAAATGTCTGCATTTTGCATGTATAACTTTATAACAGTCATAAAAAAACAGTGATGGATAGATAGTGGTCTTTAGTGGAAGATATGCTGTCTTTAAGGATTTAAAAGAATATAATGCTTTACTCTGTATAAGGAAGCTTGTTCTTTGGTGAGTTCATTTGATAAGCACAGAGGAGGCCAATACAGCCTGTTGCTAGAGCATTTTAAGGGCAGATGGGAAAATGGGATGTACACACAATGATCCATCTATCACATCTTCTATGAATGAAGTCTAGTTTACTGAAGCCATCCTTGGGCCAGTGTGATCAGAAGCGAGCTAGCTGTCTTGGAAGTAGGAACCTTCACCTTGAAAGGGAATCCAGACTCCCACGACACCCAGATTCTTTGGGGGTTGCTAACTTCTGACACAACCACTGTGGCCACTTAGAGGCTGGGACTGCATTGTGAAGAAGTGTGACTATCCCTGGAGGAGTCTGAATCTGGGAGGCTCAAGAGGTCGGCGATAGGTGGGCATGAGATTAGGCACGGCCATCTAAGAGGGTCTCCAGCAGTCCCCTATAGCAGTGGCTCTCACCTGTTCCCAGGGTGGGAGGGGACACGCTACAGCACAGGGAACCAGGCGGCCGGGTGGAAGTCAGGTTGCAAAATCACCTACTAACTCCGAACCTCTTGCCTACCCCTGGAGGTGGCTGCCCTCTCCTGCTCTTGCCACATCACCTATGTCAACATGGCCCTTCTTGGCACAGTCACAACTTTCTCTTATTGCCAAATCCCACTCAGAGCTGGGGGTAGAGTGGGGGTACTGGAAACAGGTTCTGCTCTGGATACTTATTTACAGAATGGGCTGACATCTGATACCCTGGAGCTCCCTGCCCCAGCAGCTCTCCTGAAGAGCACAGAGCCTCCCAAGCAGAGCCCCTTTTTCCCTTCTGGCTTTAATTTAGCTGACTCCACTCACCTGGAGAGACACCCCAACAAGCTGTGTAACCTCAGCCCACCTCTTCTACCTAGCTTCACTCCAACTATGACAAAGGCTCTATGTTTCATCTGTCTCCACAGCTTGCCATCATAGGCAGGGACACCCCAGCATCTGCTGTTCACCAATTTGTTCTATGTTAGAAGGAACTGGACCGCATCTAAGGAATAATTTCGATGTGAATAAAACACCAAGCCAGAATAATCTGAGGGTATAAAGAAGACCCTCCAATGGGCTGTTGGCTGTCTCTGTTATCTATGCCTGTAAGTTAAGCAGGCACTCCGCACCCCCACCCCCACCTCTACGCCACCCCACCCCACCCCATCCCACCCCACCCCGCCCCGTGAGCCGTGACCAGGGCCTGCAGGATCTGCAGGACTGTGAGGGCAAAGGCCAAACAGACAATATAAGGCCAATCATCACTGAGAAGCTGTCCTTCCCTTGGGACCCTTGCTCAGGGTCACCATTCCAATGGGGTTTCTGTGCATCTAAAGTGGGTGGGGTGTCTGGCACCAGGAAGCGGGGACCACTCCACACAACCGCTCTCTCTCTCAGGGGCCACTCTTTCCTCCTCAGGGCACACACACATGACTGGTGTGGAGTCTGGAAGAGGGAGCTTCCCAGATAAAGGAAGGGCCTGCCTCCCAGCACCAGCCCAGAGCCCGACAAGACAGTGGTCTCCACTTATTACTTCATATCTTTCTTCAGGAGGTTACTGATGAAATCCTTGGCATCATCGGAGATCTCATCGAACGCCTCGTCATCAAAGTCCCAGGTGGCCGAAGTGACGTTGGCTAAGGTCTCGTTGTCATTGTCGCCCATGAAGGGGGACAGTCCACTGACCCTGGGTGAGAAGAGCAGAAGAACAAGAATGAAGGGGAGTTGAGCTGGGAGGGACGGGGCGGGGAGCATGACTCCTCTAAGTGAGTGCTGAGGTCAAAGGTGGGGGCTCTTCCCTGCACTCTGAAGCACACACTAACTATATGGCTCTTACACCTGCCTTTCCTCTACCTCCAAGAAGAAATCCAGCCAGCTTCTGTGTCTCTCCTCAGTCATTCACGGCATTCCTTAAGTGACCCCTAGTCTCCCCAGCCTCTTTACATCAACCACCTGTGAGGCTGAGGTGGACGGCTTGATGAGTGTGCACATTTCCACTACTCATAGAGCGGAGCCGAGAAACCCCTCCACCTTCCTCTTCCATCCCAAACCTCAGGCTGGCTCCCACCCCTCACAGAACCTTCACTGAGCCCCTTCTTCCCATCTACACTCTTCCATATTCTCCTTTCTACTTCATTATACACCTCCAGATGTGTGTGTGTGTGTGTGTGGGCACCATATAGGGATGGCTCAGCAAATGTGAGCCCCCATAAACATGAGCACTTTTAATCAGCGAGGAGGGACAGGCTGCCCGAGGCATTTGTTCCCCTGGAAAGCCCATCCACAGGCTGTGTGGCAGAGGACGGAGCGCGGCGGCCTCTTCATTAGCTGAGTGACCTTGGACGCCTTTCCCACCCTCTGTACCACTTTCTCTTCATGCTCTAAAATAGTCTCTTACTTAACTACAGAGTCCCTGTCCCATCTTCATCAGCAGCAGGCGCTGAGCACACGTTACCCCCTGCAGTGTAAAGATCTGAAGTAGATGAACTCATTTCATCTCAACCCCGCCCCAGAACACAGGTAATTTTCACTTCTTCATTATACAGAGATGGCAGGGGAGGCCCAGGCACAGAATTGGTTAGGTAACCTGCCCAAAGAGTCCCAGACATTGAGATGTGAGCCCAGGAGCCTGGACTCCCAGGCTGACCCTTTACTGCTGCTGCATGCTCATATTTTTATGCAGATTAAGAAAGCGGTGTGCATTGCACTAGCACACGGGACAGTCCATAGTTAGGGTTCATCTGGCACCATGTATATCATACAATTCTTCTTGATAACCTGTACTATCGCCCAGTAGCCTAAGCCAAACATGGTTTGGAGGGCAGCGATCTCAAAGTCAAGAACAGACTGAAGCTCACAGTCTCACTTGTGCCCTCTAACGCATCTCTCCTTCATGCCAACAACGCCCTCACCTTGCATGTCAAACCAAGGGCTGACTCTGTGAGTATATGACCTGCACAGCTGCCCAGAGTCCCACCCTGAGATGGACCCCGCACCTAGCATTAATGCTCGACTGCCACCATTTTTAAATTCTTAATAATGCTTCAACAAATATCCCTACCTTTTCAGCTTGAAAATTACATACATAGTCCTTTCCTGACCCTGTCCAAACACATGAAAATACATCTCGAGCCCCCTTAAGTCAGAGTTTTATGAACATCCTTCTCCCAGTCCTTATTAATCCACCATTATAAACCACACCACACCGACAGCTGCTGGAGCTGTTCAGCATTCAAAAGGCCTCCGCTTATGAAATCTGCTTGTACCCGAACACTGTGCTTGAACAACACCCACTTGAAACACTGGGAGAAGGTTGGCCATGGGAGGAGCCCTCTGCTGAATGCAAGAACAAAGAGCTTAGAGTTGGTGAGTGTGTGCTTTCTCACTCTACTTGACATATGTGTGCTTTTGAGTAATACGCCATTTAGATGGCTTTTCTTAAAGCAAGATGCTGACTGAAGTCCACGAGGGCAATCTGAATCATTTTCGGTCACGGACCCATGAAGTCCTGGTAGAAGGTCGCCAGTCTTTGAATTTACACTGTTATGTGCTACTCCATCTTGACACTACAGTGACTGGGCTGCGTTTCCTAGGGACCTTTCAGCTGCCCGACCTCTGTGATGTGGGTGGCCTAAGCAAGCTCCGCCAAGATGCAGACTGTCTTTGCTTGTGGGCACCTGCTTCTTCTCACCTCTACATTTTCTATTTGAAGCAGGAAGGGGGGGAAGTCCTGCAGTGCTCCAAAGGAGAGCAGGAAAAGCAAACAGTCGTGCTGAGGAATGCCAAAAGGGCCCCTTCTGCATGTCTCCTTTCCTAATTAGGACTTGGAATCCTGCAAAGATAGGTCTTAATCGCTGTCCATGTCGCAGGCACGGGGAGCCCCAGCCTCTGGCCCTGGCACTGCTCCTTCCTGGCAGCACACCCACCTGAAACACTCTGTCCTGCCCAGCTCTCCGCCTGCCCAAGTTCCTCTTGAATTAGAAACCTACAATATTGGTACATAGCATGACGGCCGGGGCAGAGTTTGGATATTTTAGTAATGCTTCTGTGTCTGGTTATATTTCTGCTTCAGTATGTAGTATAGTGCAGATTGGCCTGGAATTCACGATTCTCCTGCTTCTGCCTCCCAGGTCCTGGGATTAAACAACTATGCTTAGTTTTGGGGTTCAATTTTTTTTTTCTATTTTAGACTTTATTGCTAGAATTTGCAAAAAGGGTCATGTGTCTTTTTATCTTAGGAAAAAAAAAAATGACCTATCGACCAGTTAGCAAATCCACTAATGCTGCCTGACACTCCTACCCCAGTGTTATCTGGTCTTAAATCAAGGGACTTACCCAGTTTTCATAAAACTGCTATCTGTCTGGGCAAGTTCTTGGATGCTTCTCTCTCAAGCATGTGGATTCTTGACATTTCTTCTCAAATCTGAATCATGAACACTTCACGGTGCTCTACTTTCTTTTCTTTTTTTTTTTTGTTTTAAAGATTGATTTATTTATTATGTGCATTGGGGTTTTGCTTGCATGTATGTCTGTGTGAGGACACCAGATTCCCTGGAATTGGAGTTAAAGACAGTTGTGAGCTGCCATGTGGGTGCTGGGAATCGAACCCAGGTCCTTTGGAAGAACAGCCAGTGCTCTTAACCTCTGAGCCATCTCTCCAGCCCCGGCTCCGTGCCCCGCCCCGCCATGTTCTGCTTTCTTAATACTTTTTCAACGCTGGGCATTAAACCCAAGGTCAAAAGCATGCTAGACCAGGCTTATGCCCCCACGCTAGATCCCCCTTCCTTCCAGAGACCTCCTTCCCGCTGGCTTCTCCCGCCCTGTTTCCCGAGTACTGGGTGTTCCCTTACCCCTGGGGACAGCCACTCTTGATTGAACCCTGTCTCATCCCTGCTCCGCCATTCCTGCCCTCGGCAGCCATTACCGAGTCCCCTTTCCTTGTTGCCCTCATCCTCCCAACTCCAGCTGTATACAAGTCAAGGAAATGCCGAGGTGAGTGTGCAGCTGTAGCCTCTGTCTGCCCTGCCTGGGACTGGGCTGCCCTCCCCTCTGCTGAACCCAGGAATGCTTCTCATTCCCTGCCTCTCTGCTCTCTTCCCAGTCACTACGTTCAAGTTTGTTACCCCCAAACTCCGACTCTGGCAAACACGACTAAACCCCCAGTTTAGTCCTTGGTTCTTCCCATGAACCTGCCCAGCTGTTTTAAATCGTCCACTGGGGATCCTTAAGGCTAAAATGGGATAAAAACCTAAACCCTTCGGAAGCCCTCAGCAGTTCTGCGGGCAGGCACGTGGCCACCCCCCTTAACCAGCCACTTATTTAGTCAGATCATGTCTGTGACTTTAAAGACAGTAAAGGAGCAAGTGTAGTCCAAGAGACATTTCCATGCTCTCTGCTCTCCTGAAATCCCACCCCGAGAGAAGAACAGGCCTCAGCCTCAGATTTGATGATAAAGTTCTGCTGTAGGGAGATTGAGAATTAAGCAATGCCAGACATGGTGGCATTAATGCCAGCTGGATCCTGCCCCCCACCTACACTGATGTGGTGATGGTGCTGACTGTACCTCGGGAGGTACTGCCCTGACAGGTGGTGAACATTGTAAAAACCCACCATTATCTGGCCAATGATATCCAATAGCATTCACTGGTCCTAGAGCGGGGTCGGGAGGACGTTCTATACAAAGGCGGAAGAGGTCAAGGCAGGAACTGCTAGACAACCCAGCTCTGAAGAGAGGGTGAGGCGGGGCAGAAGATGCCACAGGGAGGGGCACTTAAGAGCTTCTTCCAGCAGCTTCCAGCAGCAGCCCCAGCTCTGCACAGCAGGGCCTTAAGGGAAGCCATCTGGCTGGCTCCAACTTCCGTTTTTAGCATCATGTGCTCTACCGAGAGCTCCCTAGACCTAGAGAGGAACTCCCAGATTTGGACCAGCCCTCAAGGAGCACTCCGGAAAACTGCCATAGCAATGGGTGCAGCCATCAGGACACTGAGTTGGGGGTTGAGCCTACGTGCTACCTGCCTCTCATCCCTCTCTTTATTCCTGACACCAAGTTGGTTCCTGTACATCAAGGTTATCTTCCCCATTTAAAAAAATTGTCCTTATTTCTTATTCTTCACTTTAAGAGCGATCTAGTAAACAAGGGAGGGGGAGAGTAGAATCTAAAAGAATTGACTTTAAAACTCAGTGCTCTTCTGACCCAGTAAGCCGAGTTCCAGATTACATTTCCAGAATGTAACGATTCTCTCTCTAATGGAAATGCACGATTATTCTCTCTAAAAACACGTGTGCCAGAAGCCTGTAACACTACAGACTGGACACTACCTAAGTCCCCATCATTCACTGGATTATGTTCACACAATGGCATGCTGCATAGCTTAGATAATGAGCCATCCACAGCTGTGTGTAACAGTATGAATTCGTCTCATGGCATTGAGTAAAGAAGCCAGTCGCTTCCTTCTGGGTCATTTCATGAAGTCCAAGAACAGACAGAACTGACCCCTAACTTCAGAAAAAAAAAAGATTACGTTGGTCCCTGGAACAGTAAGCATGAGAGGACCCGAGGTCTGCAGGATCCTGGTTGTGTTTGGTTTTTTTGATCCAGTGTGAGACACATGGATGTGTTCATTGAGCATTCCAGTTACCACTGCAACTCCTGGTTTGTCTGGGACTATCCCCATTTTTATGCTCAAAGTCCCGTACCCTAGGAAACTATTAGTTCTGAGCAAAATGGAACACTTGGTCACCTGCCCAGACCATGGTAAGTGGCCAGCCATGCAGCTTCCATGGCCCCAGGCACTTTGATGTCCAATACAATCAAACCCCTGCCATGACCCACTCTACGTTTGTGCTGAGATCAGACCTGCTCTTGTGAAAACCAGCGGATCTGATGATCCCCAGACCACAGTAAGAGGGAGCCTCCTGCGGCAGGCAGTGCTGCAAGTATTGGGACCAAGCTAAGCCATAGCACCAGCAGGGGCCGACCGGAGTGAGCTCACGAAACGTGGCTTCTGCAGGGCCCGGTGTTTCACTAGGGCACAGAGACCAAAAGGAGCTCTGGCTGGCCCACAAGCCCTAGAAGAGACAGGCTGAGCTACTGGGCCTCTGTTCTGTACTTAACTGGGAACAGGGGGAAGAAGCATCCAGTGCAGTGTCCTCAGTCACTAGTACCTCCTCCAAGAGGGCACAGGGAGAGGCAGAGACATGTATGGGCTCTTCTCTGGCCTGGCGGAGGGTGACTTTAGGCAGGGGAGGCAGTGGCCCTCCATGGTACAAATGCCATGGCACAGGTCTAACTGAAGGAAGCTGTCCTCACAGGCCACGGTGACCGTAAAACTCTGAGGATGTAGAAAGCCCGGCTGGCCACACCAAAGCTTTTCTAACAGTCCTTCTTAAATTGACTGGGCATCAAGAGTAACCTTTCACCTTGTGGGGCTGAGGACCCCAAATGTCTCAGAGAGCATTCTTTGAGAACCTCCTTAAATTAAACATTTTTTAAAAATTGCTCTCTGTGTGTGTCTGTGTCTGTGTGTATGAGAGAGAGAGAGAGAGAGAGAGAGAGAGAGAGAGAGAGAGAGAGAGAGAGAGAGAGAGAGAGAGATTACGTGTGTATATATATGCACATCTGAAGAATTTGTGTGCACCATATGTGTGCAGGCACTCATCAGAGTACTTATCAAAAGAGGGATTTGGATCTCCTGTAACTGGAGTTGTGAACAGTTGTGAGCTGCCTGATGTGGGTGCCAGAAACTGAACCTTTACAAGAATACTAAGTTTTCCTAACCACTGAGCCATCTCTCTAGCCTCCTCAAATTTTCCGTGAAAAATATTTATGTTCCCCTTTGTTTTAATGACAATATACATATGTATATATTTTTGAAACAGGATCTCATGTAGCCCAGGCTGGCCATGTAGCTGAGGGTAACCTTAAACTTCTTATTCTCCTGTCTCCATCTCTCTTGTGCTGGGACTGTAAATGTGTGCCACCATATCTGGATGTTCTTATGCTTTGATGAGGACTGGACCCAGTACTTCAGACATGCTGGAAAAGCACTCTACTGGCTGAGCTACACCCCTAACCCTGACAACAACAGTTTTAGCCGCTACACGTGTGCCACAGCTTTAGGGAGATTATCCCACAACTGCATGTGGCCACATAAGTTCAAGGGCTACTTCTAAGGCTAATGACTATGACCTGAAGCTTCATCACAACCCAACAAAAGTACATGGGGCTTAGTTACTACAAATGTAACCTTGGACAAACACTATGGGTGCCTGGCTCCTGTTATAAGTGTGGAATCTTGGGGTGCCCAGTCCTGAGGCAAAGCTTGCAATCTGAGGCATTGCCATAGAGATTGAGGTATATTATGGGTTGCCAAGCACTGGTGTATACCATTGGCTTCTCCTCTAGCCTTTCCCTCCAGCATTGCTAACTAATAACTGCATTGATCTGTTGTCTCTTGTTCCCATATAAGCCTTTCCATTAAGAACGCTTATTAATCAGTACCTATACTGAGTGAGATGAGCCAGGACTGTGGTGTCCATCCTGGGAGGATGGGGTTCTGTCCTTGGAAGATAGTGAAGATGCCCACCTGGGCTTCCTGTTACCTCATAAGCCTGACCAAAGCCCCCAGGCTGCCAGCGCTAGGGACAGTGAGATACCCAGCATGGAGATCTTTATGTGTGGCATTCTATGTGGCTACAGAAGGGTGATGCAGGCCACGGACTCACTGGGAGCCCAGAAACAGGGTGGGCTGGCAGAGATAAGAATGGAAACCTATCACCCTTCTGCTTGGAGGGGGTGGTCCCCATAATGATCCACCCTTGTCTCTCCCTCCCTGTAACATGGCAATTTGGGGGCCCTCTTGTGGGAGTGTCTCCCCTCCCCACCAAGAATTGTGGGACTCACAGAATGTAGCAGATGACCCCGATGCTCCACATGTCTGTGGCATAGCCGATGGGCTCATAGTTGATCACTTCAGGAGCCACAAACTCTGGGGTCCCAAAGAGGACCTTCAGAGACCCAGCATTCTCTGAAACCAGAACGGAGAGGGGTCAATTGACAGCATGTCACAGAGTTAGCCTGGGGTAGGCCCTGCCCTCGTCTGTGTCATGGGCACAGACAAGGGCTTCACCTTCAGGGGTGCTCCACACACAGGCAGCTGGCCTCCTGTCAACACACCCATCCACCAGGAAAACCAACAAGCTATATGCTCACCTTAAATGTCCTGAGTTGTTTGGGATGGTAAAAAGAGGACATTAGAGTACCTGTCCCTGAGTGGTCCTTTCATAAGCCTGTGTCTCTAGCAAGCTAGTCTGTCCCCTGAGGTAGAGATTGTGACTTATGTTCAATAATCTCCAATAGACTGTGATGCTAACATTCACTCTGTCTGATGTACTTTGTTACCAGCTTCAAAAGGATTTCTCTTTACATCGGATAATTCTTTTGTCCTTAAAAAGCTTAACATTCTCATTAATGTTTAGACATAGGGACGATTCCCATGTCACTTAGGACAAAAGGTGCAGGGAAGTGAAGTGATTCCCCCATCCAGCTCATTAGAGATGGTCAGGACTTGGACTCAGGTGGTCTGATTGCTGGTCCAGGTTCCCCACACTCCCCATCCACTGCCTCTCCTGTTTATTCTAAACCTCTTGTGTCTCCTCTCTCCAGCTGCTTGGACAATAGTTGGAGAGGCCTAACCTCCAAAGTGGTATATCTTGGCCATAAAGGATCAGAGATGCCTATGGGGAGGACCAGAATCCATCTCCGGATTGGAGATGTCAGCAGTGGTAGAGCTTTGGCTTGGGAGCCACATCTGGTCTGGTTCAACGCATCAGGACCCATGTCCAATATTCCAAAGGCCTTACCAGCTTTCACAGCCTGAATTTTCCACTCCAGCTCACACCTAACTCCCCCTGCTGCATTGTAACTGCTTCCCTGTTCTTTGGTCCTCAGATACCACGGGTCTCACGGTGTACCGCTACCAAGGAACTGGAACACTGTGTTCCTTGGGCTCTGTCCCTGCCAGCTCCTGAGGCCAGTGCTTCCCTACTTGTTCCATTTATTGGTGGTTACTGTCCAAAGGAATGTCCTATGCGCTGGCCATCATCCTACCCATCCCGGTGGCAGAGGAGAGTAGGACAGGCAGGTCTGCTCAGTACCAGAGAGAGCTCTGGTCTCACTGTGCTCTGGATGACCAACATAACCCTGGAAGTCCTGGGAGGTTTACCAGGTGGCATTATCTTGCTTAACTATTTTCCCCTTCTCACGGGGTGATGAAATAAAGACCAGCTCACTCCAGCCCTGTGGCTCTGTATTAACAGAAGTGTCCAGGAGGGGAGAAGAATGCTGCTCAATGACAGACATCCGAGAGCCACAGAGGCAGAGTAGATATGGGGGGCAGGGTACAGGAGGCACAGTTGCTGACCATAAAGACTTCAGTGCCTGGAAAGAGGTTCTGACCACTCCCCCACACCTTCTTCCTCTCGAAGACGTCAGAAGTTGGGGTGAAACAGCAAGGCACTGATAGCAGAGGGGCCCCAGGGCATGCTCAGCTGGGTCCAGGGTTCCTATGCCAGCCTCAGCACTTCACTGGAACCTGCTGGGCAAAGCTTTGGAGAACCTTGATCTCTTCAAATATGTCCTTCCCCCAGGTAAGAATGAATGAGGCTAATACAGTCTCTTTTAATGTGACAGTACTCTGTAAACTGTAACATAATGCAAATGTGAGAAGCCAAATGAGTTATTGTCGTCATCATCATCATCATCCCCACCACCATCCCCATCACCAGCAGCAGCAGCAGCATTATCACCATCATCAAATACATAGTCACCGCCAATGTGCTTACTGCGTAAGGACTATGGCTCTTGTGCATCAGCAGCCTGGCAACTCTATGGGGCAGGTCCTGTTTACCTTACGGAAAAGGAATTTCAGGCTGAGGGTGATAGAGCAGCAAGTGGTAGGGGCTGGGTTTGAACCTGAGAAGTCTTCCTGGTCTCTGACTTTGGCTCCAAAGCTGTACATTTCCAACATGCAGTGTGTAGAACACACACAGCCACCGCCACCGTGACAGATAAGATGGCCTTACCTAGTCTTCGTGCCAGCCCGAAGTCAATGAGCTTGATCCTGGTGCCTGTCTTGTTGACACACATGATGTTCTCGGGCTTGAGGTCCAGATGCACAATGCCCTGCTTGTGGATGTACTCCACCCCTTCCGAAATCTGCCTCATGTACTTGATGCACTCACGCTCCGTCAGCTCGAAGTCCTCGTCGATGATGCGCTCAAACAGCTCACCCCCGGATACGCTGTGGGGACAGGAGGAGGCGGGAGAGACGCTGCGGTTACGTCATAGGACTCTGGGGGCCAGAATGGCAGGGTATCTTGCCAAGGTAGACTAGGGTGCCTGTGTGTGCACACGCTTGTGTACATGCCAAGTTTCTGCAGCTTTCCAAGCCCCGTTCAGTCTTCCACACATATACCTGATAGGCTAGGCTACTGGAGGGCTCAGGGAAGCACCGGAAATCTGGGAAGCCCTCAGGCCAGGCATGAACCGAGAAATAAGGACAAGATTCCCTTATTTAGAAGGGTGATCCCTAGCAGTCTTTTTCTCCCATAGACCCCAGCGATGCCTTCTAGGTACAGGGAACTAACATTTCAAATATTCACTTTTTTACAGAATATAAGAATGCATGTGCATAGCCAGGAACAGAAAACGATCTTTGATAATGAGAATCCTCAGCAAATTTTCTGGAATTAGTTGGATGTAGCCTATTCCAGGAGTAGCTGTAAAAGATCTGAGAGTTTGCTCCCTCCCACTGCAGCTAACTTGTTGCTTCTACCTGGTAGACTTTGTGTCCCGGGCATGTGTAATCCACTCCACTTCCAGAACCCACATCTGGGCATCCACTGCTAACTTCAGGTGGCCCTGATGTCGAGGTGTACAGTCTTCTCTGAACCCCCATCGCAGACCTTGAAGCCCACTTTCCCTGCTCACTGCTCCGAGAGTTTAAAGCCTACCCTTGGTAACCTATAGCTACCTATGGTAACATCCAGCTATCAGGAAACTCAGTTTTCAACAGTGGCCTGTTGGTCCACTTCTGCTACTGTAAGTACAAGAGGTGGTACTTCTCCTAAAAGGAGTCATCGTGAATGCACAGTGACAGGTGTGGATCCAATCTCGGAGTTTTACAAGCTAACTCTGGGCCAGGTAGTTCCTTGTCACTGACCCTTGCAGGACAGACAGACAGCAGACGGCAAAGCCTTATACCTCCTTCATCATATGATCTGGAAGAGCTGAGTCGGGTAAAGGTCAGTGAGTATTCCCAGCCACTAGAAGGAGCTAGAGGAGACGCTTTAGAACTACCCAGAGGAGAAAGACCCTTCATAGCCAGCAGGTGGCGCCTCTTGTCCTGAAGCCTTCATTTCTACTGATTTCCAGGAAGGCTCTAAGATAGTGTTTTTGAACCTGTGGGGGGCAACCCCTTTGGGGGTCAAACGACCTTTGATAGGGGTCACATATCAGATATCCTGAGTACCAGATATTTACATTATGATTCACAACAGTAGCAGAATTACAGTTATAAAGTAGCAACGAAATAATTTTATGGTTGGGGTCACCACAACATGAGGAACTGTATTAAAGGGTCACAGCGTTAGGAAGGTTGAGAATCACTGCTCTAAGACAAACTCTATTGTTAGGCCACAGTCTCAATTTCTTTATCTGTAAGATATAGAGAAAGACATCACCGCCTCACAGGTTTGCTCCAAAACAGACTGAGTTAACACCATAGGCAAAGTACCCAGAAGGGTACCAACATGTTAAATATCTTTTTTCATTAAAAAAAAATCATTTGGGTTTATGTTGAAAATATAGATTCTTGGGGCTGGAGGGATGGCTTAGGGGTTAAGAGCACTGGCTTCTCTTCCAGAGGACCTGGGTTCAATTCCCAGCACCTACGGGACAGCTCACAACTTTCAGTAACTCCAGTTCCAGGGGATCCAACACCCTCACACACAGATGCAGGCAAAACACCAATGCACATGAAATAAAATTAATGCATCATTTAAAAATCATATATAAAAAAGGGAAATTACAGACTCACAACAGCCTCCCTCAGGGATTTGACTTTGTAAAGTCTTGTGATGAATCTGAGGCTCCATAGTTTAGAAGTCCCCAGTTCACCAGACATGTGCTGGACATCCCGGTTTGCTCTGCTATGGCTCCTGTGAGGAGCTGAAACTCAGCTCCTGGAGAAACCCTTCCCTGTTCCTACACAAATGACCCTCCCTTCTGAGGGTCTCCATGCCTTGTCTGTGCAAAATTTTTCTATCAAGCCGGTCTGTCTCACTTGCTGGTCATCACAGCTGCATGAAGCCTGGCTCATCTCCAGGCTCTCATCTGCAGCTGCCAGCATCTAGCATCTAGCATAGACAAGGTGCCCCCAGATGTCTGCCTCTAAGTTTAAACTGTTCTGAGAAAGCAGCCATTAGTTCAACATCCCTGGGGACTTCGGAGCAGTAAGCATAGATGTCTGAGTCATGAAGCTCATACGGCTGCATTTCTAGAGGTAGGTGACTTACTCAGTATTAGTTCACATAGGCTCAAGCCTATTCAATTATATCTACCAATATATATATATATATATATATATATATATATATATATATATGTTTTTCAAGACGGGGTTTCTCTGTGTAGTTTTGGTGCCTGTCCTGAATCTCGCTCTGTAGACCAGGCTGGCCTCGAACTCACAGAAATCTGCCTGGCTCTGCCTCCTGGGTGCTGGGATTAAAGGCGTGCGCCACCGCTGCCCGGCTCTAATATATTTTAAAATCATTTCTTCAGTCACTTCCCGGTATGGAAGGAGTTAAACATCAAGTTTCATAGTTCTGTAGGTTTCTCTTCAAAATGGTCAAGACTAGGAGAAGATATTGGTTTGCTAAAGGCTGCTACCCACAGACATGGGCCAGGATGGGGCCAGATGAAATGTGTTCTTAATAAACTGATAGTGAGTGAATAAATGAATGGATACTTACTATCACCAACACTACCCATCCCAAGGGACCAAACTTATCTCCAGAGCTCTCGGGCCGGGCAAGCCTTCCCTGGCAGCCAGAGAGGACAATGCTATCCAGGGACTTGATACCCAGTCTCTACTCCCTGTCTCTTGGCAGCCAGCTGGATGTTCTTTTATAAACTTTACTAACAGCGGAACAAAGGTGACATCAGCCCCCAGGGACCCAGCTGAAACTTCATGTCCTCTTCAGGACTGAGTCCCACCACCACCTGGCCAGTCCCAAGGACTTCCGACAAGGTAAGCCCAGGGCCCAGGCCAGCAGCCAGGGGGACCCTTAGTGCTCTACAACTGGGGCTTGTCCAGAAACAAAGTCAGATAGGCTGTAGACCTGCTCTTCCTTATTTCCCACGTATCTGAGGCAGGGACTCTGGAATATATTTAATTTCTCTCCGTTTCTCCATCAAACAAGAACATAAAATCCCCTGCAGGCTGTCAACCTCTCCCCTGTGTGTGGCCGTGAGTAGGACTAGGTTAGAGGGGTGAACAGGTGGAGGATGAGCCCTGGTTGAGTTCCTATCAAAGGGCGAGCCCCTAACCCTCAATAGAGGCTAATCTGGCATCTGTGCCTGTGAGACTCGCTCTGTCCGTGGGGGAGGAGTGGGGTGTGGGGATGAAAGCCAGACCAGCTGAAACCTCCTTACATTTCTCTGCTTTTTCCACCCAGCTTGCCAAGTCCCAATTCCAAGCTAAGTATGGTATTCTGCCCACTGGTGCCGCTGCTTGGCCTTACCCAGGCTTGCCTGCCTCCTGCCCCCCTCACGAACTTGCTCAAGGTTTAACTTCTAAAGATAAAGCATTTCTCCACGTCTTCACATACCCACACTGCCTGGACTAAGCAGGCCGTTCTAGAACAAATGTGACATCTCAGCCCACAAAGAGACTGGAAGCTGTGACAGGGTCACAGATGGGGACTCAATATTCCTAAAAGGGGTGGTGGTAAAGTCGACCATAAGATACCAATGAAAATGTTCTCTGAGTCTTTTATGATTCCACAGAAAGCAGAATTTCAAAGCCAAATGGGGAGCCTTGAGATTATTTAATCTAAATACCTTTTGGCTGGTAGTACCAACAATTAAAAAAAAATCACATTTCAATAGTAACAGAGCTTGAAGGCAGGCTTCCTGAGTATTAGAAAGGAGTATTAGATGTTCCACAGCATCTGCTTGAATGTTAAAATGCTCTCAGGTTACTTTTAAGTGGAATACAGACCAGAATACTGAAAAGGCCTACTTATCTTTCTTCTAATAGCTGCCTATGGCCAAGTGCTGAACCTCATTCACAAGCACTACTCAACTAATCCCACAGCATTCATGAGGGAGCAACAGGTTCTACAAATAATAACACCAAGGACGGGCAGAGCTAAGTAACTTATCCAAGGTCAAATCATGAGAGGTGCGCTAGGATCTGAGTGAGGGTTATCTGACGCAGGTCTGCACTTTTAACTTTTTTTTTTTTCCTGTCCTTTTTGAGAGGAGCATGCCGAATGTCACTGTGGTGGGGGGAGAAAAGAGGCTCATCCCATTCCCAGGCCCGGTCCTTCCCAGGGAAGAATGCCTGCCAGAGTGGACAGCTCATCTTCCCAAAGATCTGATCCCAAAGTTCAGGGTGCTCAGTGCAATTCTAGGATACCTTGAAAACCCTCGAGTGATCACGCCCTTTCACCTGCACAGCTTCACTTCTGGGATGCAAGCTATGGGTACGCACAGGTGTCAGGGAAAACACATGTGTGCGAGGCTGCAAGCAATGTCTGCAAAAGCAAAAGAAGTCAGGGAACCTCCTGACCTCTTAGCAAAGGCACTTGGCTCAAACGCATGCACTGTGATGTGGCGTGTGTGTACTGTGAGGTCCCTCAGAGCTGGGAGGACGCAGGGCTTGCTATGGTAGTGGTTTACTGAAAACCACACGGTGCAGGACAGTGAGTTCAAGCCACACATTGTGATAAAAGGCAGGACGGTAAAAATGCACATGCTAGATTTTCATAAAGAACTTTGGAAGAATACAACAAAACCCAATAAAACTGTTTACCTCCGGTGGTGTAGAAACAGGGAAGGTGAGTGAACAGATGGGAATAAGACTCCGTTGTGTATTCCCTTAAATTTTTAATGTGATTTTAATTAAAAAGAAATACAGTTCAGCAAAGGAAACCCATGAAAAATGCAGGTGCCTGTGAAGGGCACCTGGCTTAATGATGTGTGTGTATGCATATGAGGGAGGCAGACGTCTGGGGTAGAGAGGAGACAGACAATGGATTCTGGGAAAGCCTTGCCTGCAGGTCATCTGATCCACCCCCCAGACTCTGTATAACCCAGCAGAGAAAGCGCTGCTCTGGCGAGTGAGACATCAAACTAGTTCAACAAGGGAGGGATGGGTGTCAGTAAGAAGCAGCGAAGGGCTGGAGAGAGGGCTCCACTCCAGAATTCTGAGCTCCCAAGTCTGGGGTCCCTTCTCTTTTGCAAGGAAGGCAGGAAGCTCCCCTGTTGCTTCCTTTCCTACCTGACACTACCTTCGGGTGAGAATGCCCCCGCAGAAGCAAGGAACCGGTGATAGCTGAGCTCTATCACAAGGAGACAAAGAGGAAAAGGTTAGAGTGGTCCCCAGGCTGTTGGCAGGCTGCCGCTCAGTGAGTCAGGGCCAGTTCTGGTTCCCACTGGTCAGCCCTGGTCACGGTGCTGGTGAGTATCTTGCCCATCATACCGTGTTGTGCGGTGGAGGTGGCTGGGTGGGGACAGCAGGTTCGGGGGAGGGGGAGGGGCTACAGTGCCACTCACATCTCCAGGACCATGACGATGTTGGCCTTTTCTTCGAAGGCATCCACACACTGGACCAGCTTGGGGTGGTGGAGGCAGTTCATGATGCTGATCTCCTGGCGGATGTTCTCTTTCTCCTTGGCAGAATAGGCCTTGAAAAACTTCCCTGCCCAGATTTTTCTAGTTTTCTTTTCCACAAGTCGGAAGACTTGTCCAAACTTCCCACTGTCAGTGAAAGAAAAGAGAAAAGCCAGGCTGAGCTGAGTTCTCTACAAAGCTGGGGGTGGCAAACTACAGCCCATGAGGCAGATCTGGCCTGACTCTTTTTATGGTAGAGGCTTACTGGAACACAACCACACACCTGCTCACTTACGTATTGTCCACGGCTATATAGCTGAGTAGTCGTGACCCAGGTGTGTGGCTCACAGAGCTAAAATACTCTTGACCAATGAAGAACATCCTACTTAACCTTAAGGGTAGACTTCTTCCCTTCCCTGGGAGGGACCCCTGGAGACGGGCTGAGGTCCTCCTTTCCAAATACAGAACTACTGAATGGCTGTTCTTCTTCCATTCCACTCCAGCACAGATGCTCTGGCAGTGGAGGATGGAGTGGCTTCCCCCACTGGGAGCAGGGAGCTCTTCTTATTCCAACAGGATGACTTCCTCCGCAGAGCTGATAAGAGGCCTACATTGTGCCCTTGGTTCCCCTAAACCATCAGAAATAAAAGCTGAGCCATATTGTCTTTTTTTTTTCCTTAAAAACATATAGCCCAGAGTATCCTCAAACTCACTATGTCCCTAATGACGACCTTGACTTGGAACTTCTGATCCTCCCGTCTTCACTTCCTGAGCGCTGGGATGTGCACCATCACATCTGGTTTATGTGGTGCTGGCGGTGGAATCCAGTTCCTTGTGCCCATTAGGCAAACACTCTACCAACTCCGCTACATGCCCCCCACTGCCCCCCACCATTCACTTTCTTCTGCTTCCCCAGAGACAGAGAGTTGGGGAGAGATGCACAGCTTGTTGGTGTCTGGGCACTGGCGTCCTTTATGTCCTAGGAACGGAGGACCAGTCCATGGCAGTACAGGGCAAGTTCATCTAGGAACTGTGAGGCTCCCTGGGCATGCTCGTGCAACCCCAAAGCTGGCACTGCCGCAGAGAAGGTGCTCGCCAGGCCGGGCTACTTCAGACCCAATGCAAGGGAGGCTAAAGAGAACGCATTCAGATCTGGTCCCTCTGCTTGAGTGCTGTTCTGGGAGCAGAGGCACAGAAAGCCTGGCTTACGGCTCCTACAGAGCTGAGCCTGTACAGAACCTCAGGAGGGGCTCCAAAGAAGGCCCCTGGTGAGGGGTGTGCTTGTGGGTCATTCCCTCCCAGTCTGTAGGCTCTCGGCTTGGGAGGAAGCTGAGTTTAGGACAGCACAGGAAGGGGCCTCTGGGGTGAGCTGTGGGTCCTGCACCACCCTCGCCCTGGGGCCCCAGGGGCCATTTTGAACTCCACTTACGATCCCAGTCGCTCTTCAATGTCATACACATCAGATACTTTCTGTTCAGTGTTAACTGTCACTGTTCGATAATCGACCTCAGGTTCCTTTTCGTCTGCAGGGCACAGGTCAGGGTGAGCGTGAGCCATCGGGTTGCCATCGGGGTCCCCCTTCTCAGCCCCTCCCTCCCGAGAGCCTGGCCCGAAGGCAGCTGGCCTCACTCACCATCATCTGACACTTCCACTTCATCCTTTGGCTCTGGAGGAGACAAGGGGGGACAGAAAGGACATGGCGATCAGTACTGAAGGCCACCTAGAGCAAGGCATGCTGTGGCTTCTCCAGGTGCCAGCACACCCAGATCACATGAGCATCTCCTGAAGTGGGCCAGTCCCTACTGTAAGAAGAGCCAGATGCAGACTGGCGAGCTATGGCCTCCCCCTCCCAGCCTCACTCCTCCACCATGGCTAACCATCATCCCCTCCTCTCACCCAGGGACCCCCAGGCATCTCCCCTTCCACATTCCTTCTAGTCCTTTTGGTATTTCAGAGCCTACATACAACTGCGATGGTCCCATTTTTTTCATGGCTTGAAAGCGAGCAACCTATAATTACTTTCATTGTTAAATCTGTTTATACATTTGTCGAACATTTGTTATTGAATTCTAGCAGTATAGCAAGCATCTTGCCAGTCATGTGGGCACATAACATAACACACACACAAGGCATAGTCTCCCCTCCCTTCCTGAAGCTTATCATTTATTTGTGTAGGCAAAAACCACAGAAACCTGAAGTAAGAATCGATTGCACATGTCATGTAACGATGCATATACCCTTGTGGCAGGAATGCACAGTGAGGAAGGGGACATGAGGACAGTGATAAAGCCTGCAACTGCTCTAAGAAGAAGCCCTTGAGTGGCCTCCCAGGAGCAGATGGGATACAGGGAGGGTGATGGATGGCACACACATGAAGCTAGCAAGTGTCCATGAGTGGCCCACACCAGCTGCTCCCATGCACATGCCAGGAGCGAGGGCCAGGGGAAGAGACAGGGTAGGTGACCCCAGACCTTGTCTACTTCAGAGCCCCAGGGTGTCTTTGGCTCTGACATACATAGAACATCCTGATCTCAGCTAAGTGTCTTTCCCTTTCTGGACCTCGGTCTCCTTGTCTGTAAAAGGAAGGAGCTGTACAGGTGACTTTCAGTGGCCCGACTAGCACGATATGCCGTGTTGTATAATGCTTTGTTCTCCCTCAGCCATCGTGGGGACCATGACGGATGGATGGATGAAGGGAGGTGTCCTGAGGGAACAGAGTGAGCAAGGACATGGCAAAGTGATGACAAAGGTCACTGAAATGGAAATATGTGAGTGTGTGCGAGTGTATTAGGGAGTATGTGTGAGTGTGGAGGATAGTGTGGAAATATGAGAGAGTATGTATATGACAGTAAGTGTGAGCATGTATCCATGAGATAGTGTGTAAATATGTGAGTACAATGATGGTAGTGTGAAAATACATGAGAGTATGAGTGCATGTTGGGGGGCAGTGTACAGGGGATAGCATGGAAGTGTGTGAGTATGAGTGTGACTGTGTCAGAAGGATGTGGGTGTGTGAGTATGTATATATGGGACAGTATGGGAGTGTGCATGTGCAATAGTGTAGAAGTATGTGAGTATGGGTAAGAGGCTAGTATGGATGTGTGAGAGTATGTGTGAATATGCATGCATGAGATAGTGAGGAAATGTGTGACATCAATATCTGTGTGTGGGTTATTTGTAAGTGTGTGAACATGATAGTCTGTTGAGAGTGTATGTGTGCATGGGATAGTGGACAAGTGTGGGAGAGTATATGTGTATAGAATAGTTTTGAAGTGTATGATAATGTGTGTGGGAGTATTATGGAATGGTGTGAGTGTATGTGTGTGAGGCAGCATGTAGGTGTAAGTGTGGAGATGTATGAGCATATATGTATGGGATAGCATAGACTTGTGTGAATGTATATGTATAGGATAGCCTAGGAGTGTGTAACTGTATGTGTGTGTGTGATAGTGTGGAGGAGTGTGACTTCTATGTGGGATGGCATAGAAGTGTGTGAAGGACAGCATGGAAGCATATGACTACGTAAGTGTAGGCTGATGTGGAAGTGTCTGGCTGTATGTATGTAAGTTAGTGTAGAAGTGTAGTTACACGCATGTGGCACAGTGTGGAGGTATGTGAGTGTGCCTAGTACAGTAATATATATAAGAGTGAACACACATGCGAGTGAACATGTATGTGTGTGGGACAGTGTTGGTGTATAAGTGTGAAATACACCTGTGAGGGGCAGCATGAGCGTGTGCATTTGCCCGAGTGCATTGGTATGTGTGTGTGAGGGGTAGTGTGGCACGGGCAAATGTGTGTATGGATGGTGGAATAGTGTCAGTGCATAAGTGTAAGTTAGGCGTGTGTGTGAGAGTGTACAAGTGTGTTAGAGTGTGGAAGTAAGACTTGGGAGGAAAGGCTGACTTCCTGAAGCCACCACCAGAGCAAGGCTGGGGGGGGCAGCTGAGGGGGAGCAGCTGTGGGGGGGCAGCTGTGGGGGGGCAGCTGAGAGGGGGCAGCTGTGGGGGGGCAGCTGAGAGGGGGCAGCTGTGGGGGCAGCTGAGGGAGGGCAGCTGTGGGGGCGCAGCTGTGGGGGCAGTTATGGGGGGGCAGCTGAGGGGGGCAGCTGTGGGGGGCAGATGAGGGGGAGAAGCTGAGGGAGGGCAGCTGTGGGGGCAGTTATGGGGGCAGCTGAGGAGGCAGTTATGGGGGCAGCTGAGGGGGGCAGCTGTGGGGGGGCAGCTGTGGGGGCAGTTATGGGGGCAGCTGAGGAGGCAGTTATGGGGGCAGCTGTGGGGGGCAGCTATGGGGGCAGTTATGGGGGCAGCTGAGGGGGAGGCAGCTGTGGGGGGCATCTGTGGAGGCAGCTGAGGGAGAGCAGCTGTGGGGGCGCAGCTGTGAGGGCAGTTATGGGGGGGCAGCTGAGGGGGGCAGCTGTGGGGGCAGCTGAGGGGGCAGCTGTGGGGGGCAGTTGAAGGAGGGCAGCTGTGGGGGCACAGCTGTGGGGGCAGTTATGGGGGCAGCTGAGGGGGGCAGCTGTGGGGGCAGCTGAGGAGGCAGCTGTGGGGGGCAGCTATGGGGGCAGTTATGGGGGGCAGCTGAGGGGGGGCAGCTGTGGGGGCAGTTATGGGGGCAGCTGTGGGGGGGCAGCTGTGGGGGGAAGTTGAAGGAGGGCAGATGTGAGGGGCAGCTGAGGGGGAGGCAGCTGTGGGGGGCAGTTGAAGGAGGGCATCTGTGGAGGCAGCTGAGGGAGGGCAGCTGAGGGAGGGCAGCTGTGGGGGCGCAGCTGTGAGGGCAGCTGTGGGGGGGCAGCTGTGGGGGCGCAGCTGTGAGGGCAGTTATGGGGGGGCAGCTGAGGGAGGCAGCTGTGGGGGGTAGATGAGGGGGCAGCTGTGGGGGGCAGCTGTGGGGGCAGCTGAGGGGGAGGCAGCTGTGGGGACACAGCTGTGGGGGCAGTTATGGGGGGGCAGCTGTGGGAGGCAGCTGTGGGGGGCAGCTGTGGGGGCAGCTGTGGGGGGGCGGGGGGGGTAGCGGGGTGAGGGCTGTGCACCAGCATGCCGAGCTCAGCAGTGCTCCCAAGCTCCTCGTCTGTGGTGGAGGTGAGAGCCGGGGAGCAGGTGCAGCTGGACTTGTGGGTGGCAAGTGCATCCTTCGGACCGAGGGCAGAACGCACGGGGACCTAAACAGACAACTGGAGGGAGACGAACCCCGGCCCACATAAGGTAAGCACCTCTTGCCAAAAAAGAGTTCCGAGAGCTTAGGAGCATAAAACCAGAAGCTGCGGTCTGTTTAGAGTTCTTAAAATGCTGCTGACGAAGTTTAGTTTTAGAAACCTAAACACAAGGGGCCTGGGAAGAACAACACAGAGGACGGCCCTGGGGAAGCAGAGTGGGCAAGGCCGATGAGGACAGTGTTGGGGGTGGAGGGGGGGCTCACGGATCGCTCTCTGGAACCCATACGGCTGGCACCGAGTGGCTGGCACTGACTGGCACTATGCAGCTCAGCAACGACGGGGATGACCCAGGAGCAGTGCTCCTTCAAGGTTGAGTGCTCAGGGAGGACTGCCTCATTCTGCCCCTGGAATGGTGTCGCTCTAAGGAATGCTGTGAAGGCCACTTCAGGAGCACTTCTCCCAACCGCGGCGGCTCTGGCCCGCAGAACGCCCTAGCGGGGACAACAGGTGGATGTGTCGGCGGCCCCTGGTAGAGCTTTGGGCATCTGTTCCCAGGACTATCTGTGGGCAGCTGGGAAGCCATGATGGGGCTGGACAAGTGTGGAGAGTTGCTAGGAGGAAGAACCGCTGTGGTACGACAGTCAGAAAAGGCGGAAACGTGGCTGTAAAAGGAACTCATGCGGGGGTAGTTTACCACTTAGGAAGGCTGTAAGTGGGGGGAGTGGGCATTCATGTTATGCCTCACACAGGAGGACCGGAGGCATATGGAAGCCATGCCAGGATGCACTAGAACAAGAGGGTCAGCAGATGCTCGGGCTAGTTCATTGATGCTATTTCACATGGGGTTCAAGTCGCGTGGCCCGTGACGATCTGGTAGACGCTAACCACCCGCCCTGGTCTTACAGTCAAGGAAACAGCATTTCTTACTGGGAAGTCCCTTGTCCTGACCTGTGCTGTCTGGTCTGAAGGAGTGATTCTACTTTAATTTGATGATTACCCTTCATTTCTTTGTCTCCTGCTATATCGTGCTGGTGTGAAAGCAGAGCGTTCTAAGCAGCAGAGTGCTGGGAAGCCAAAGCAGGCTTTCTTGGCCTGGAGTCTACAGAAGTGGTTTGTGTTCTGCTTGTGACAGAGTGACTTGTGCCATGAGCTACTCAGAAGCCTTCCCAGCCACCTAGCACAGGCTTTTCTCAGTCAGCCTTGGAGAGGGATTTGGCTCTGGACCTGGCCTCTTACCATTACCCTGCCTCCAATCACAGGGGTGGCTTCCTGGCCTGCCTGCCTGCGTGAGTACCACGCCTGCCCTCACACCTCACAACTTGTCTACTGCAGTTGGGGATCAATGGGGACCAAGCCCTCTTCCCGGAGATTCAAGTTGCCCTCTGTATTGCTCAGGTTAGCCTTCCTCTGAGAGTCCTCCTTAGGATCCCGGGATGCTGGAGTCTGTCTGCCTTCTCATCCTGCCTCCTTTCTAGTTGTGTGGCAAGATGAGCTGAGTGGAGAGGAGAGAAGAGTTGAGGGAAACCATGGTTCAGTGAGCTGAGCTCCTGGACTGTAAACAGTGGTAGCTATCTCAAAGGAGATGAGACTTTGTTTTCCCTCTTTCCATGAAGGAAGGAGATAAAATTACAAAAGAAAGGACTTCAACTTCAAATCTTTTTTTAAGCATCCATGTAGTGGGCTGGAGAGACCGCACAGGGACCCAGGATTGATTCCCAGCACCCACATGGTGGCTAACAACTGCCTGTAACTCCAGTTCCAGGGGATCTGATGCCCTCTTCTGACCTCCTCAGACACCAGGCATACACATGGTGCAGACATACACAGAGGCAAAAATACCCATACACACAATTTTTAAAAACCTGTTTAGAATGAGCCAGAGACCCAAGAGCTCAGTGGAAGGGCTGTTTGGAAGAGGGTTCTGAGATACTTCTGTAAACAGATGAGCGTTATTACCCTGTGATGGCATTAGGAGAAGACCAGCAAAGCTCTGGGGCCCCTCACAAAGCAGATCCCATCAAGTCTCCATGACAGAACTCTGTCCCTTTCTGTACAGAGGACTGCAGTGTGTTCAGTAAACACTAGAGGGCAACCTGGCTCTGGACACCGCCTCTGGGAGCCCTGCAGAGCCGCAGCCTAGCTGTGTAGTTCCAACTGCCCTTGGGTGCAAGGAGCTGACTGGCAAGGTGCCTCAGCCACAGCTGGTTTGCTAATAACTCTGTTCCCTAGAACAAATTAGGAGTAGGGGCAAGGATGGAGAGGACTTCAAAGTCAGAGCGGGATCGGGGGGAGCGGGACCTAAGACTTAGCTGGAATGGAGCAGCAAGGTTGGGGCGGGGGGCTCTGTGTTGCTTAGGTCTGGTGAAACTAGGTAGGATGCTGTCAGGTCAGGGATCTGAAAGATGCCTCTGTCATAGGGAAGCCACTGGAGCTGGTGGGAAGCCCTCCTCTTCAGCCTCCCATGGTATCCCCAGTGCCCGGGGCAGCCCTGGCAACACTGTAGGGATACAGGATGTCTGTGGGTAAATGGAGTGAGGGATGGGTTGAAAATAGAAGGAACCAAGGTCCAAGACAAAGCCGAAGATGGAAGTTGCCAGGACAAGAGCCATGGTAGAATGGTAAGTCAGTCAACACAGGCTGTGCTTTGCGGAGTGAGGGTTAATCGGCATTGCTTTTAGTAAGACCCTCATAGCCCACTACTCCACTGACATGACCTCCTAAGACTTCTACTTCTCCCATCTGCCCACGAATGCTTCCAAACTCACTCCCCACCACACTTCCCAGAGAGCCATTTCCCCTTTAAGTAGAGAGAGCTAGCCTTGCTTAGAACTCACAGCACCTGAGGACTCCACAGAGGACTTTGGCTTGGGGCATCCCCACCCTCCTCTCCCCCTCCCTTTTCCTCCTCTCCTTCACCCCCTCACCCCCGTCCTCTACTCTCAGGCCTAGCTTGTGTGAACTATCCTTCCCCTCCTCCACCCTCTTGGATAAGACAACTGGGCCTGGAGTGGGAGTAGCTTCCTGTCTGGAAGCCCTTGGGTGGCCCGGACCCTTCCTTTGGATTTTAGGCGATTCCCCACTTCTGATTGTCTGTAACAGTGGGAGGGTTCTGAGGCTATATAAGACTGCCTGAGGTGGAGTTCAAGGGCAAGGCCACTGCCCACCAGCATGGCACTCCCCATAATCCTGGGCACTGCAGCTCCGGCCTCCTGAAAGCCATGCCTCACCTCCATCAGGGTCCCTGGATTGATTAGGGAGTCTGGTTGCTTTGGGTTTCTACATCAGGGCCTGGGTAACTTCCAGTCCAGCCAATGAACATGTTTTCTCTTTACCTGTCACTCCCAAAATAATATCCTAAAAACACCCCCTGACCCACCTATCCTGCCTGCTCCCCAAATTGTCCAGTGCAGAAGGATGTGTGTGTGTGTGTGTGTGTGTGTGTGTGTGTGTGTGTGTGTGTGTGTGTGTGTGTGTGTTGGAGTGTTTAGAGGCAGCAGTCCAGCTTCCTTCAGCAACTGTGGCTATCAGGGACCCCTGTCTGTGTCCACCCGAGGGTTCAGAAGTGAAGGTGCCCCGCATGCAGCTGGCTGGCTGGCAGCAAGAAGTTGGTGTGCTTTCCACTGGCGTTTCCTTCCTTCCTTCTGGAGCCCTCATTTGAGGGCTGGTTTATACCTAATTTTGGAAAGCCAGGGGGTCATCATAAAGACAGCTACACATAGGATACCCTGGGTGACATGGTGCTTCCAGGATGGGTCCCTCCCTGTCTCCTTTGATACTGTAGTAGACCCACCATGCTGTCTACTTGACATCCTGAACACCTCTCCAAGAGCACTGTCCCTTCTGTCCCCTACCTTCTCCGTCTTAAGTCCACAGCACTCTTTTCCCTTTCTTTGCGTAAATCTCAGCGTAACAGCCCGTAACTTCCACTCATCCCCTCACCAGGGCAACCCTGGGGAAACTCTATGGGCTTCGACTTCAAAGATCATAATCAGACACCAGCAACTGCAGTGATCCTGAGTCCCCGTCTCTTTGTCTTTAAGAAGTTAACACAGTGCGCTTGCAACTTGTTCCCGCCCCATGTCCACAAGGAACTCCGGATTTCTCACAGTCCTTTATTCTAGTCCCACAGGCTTTCTCACTGTGGCATTAGTGTTGACCTTTTCTAACCTCTGGGTGACCTTATTGGTGTTACTCAGTTGTCTATTAGACAGCAAAGCTTTCCGAATCTACAGCCCTTGTTTGATCCTTCCTCCCATGGCCTGATGACCCCTCCCTTTGGGTATCCCTCAGATACCTCGACTAAACTAGTCTGAAATGAAAACCCTCCTCATCTCCAAGGCTCTCCATTATCTAACCTTCAAGTTCCTCAAGCCAGTGGGGAGACAGCCCGACTAACCTCTTCCCTCAATCTGACCAAAGGAGAACAAGCCCTGGGCTGGACAGCTCTAGAACTCGACAGTTACAGTTCACGCTTCTCCTTACCATTCACAAGCTCTGTGACCTTAGGCACAAAGTTCCACCTGTCTGTCTCCACTTCCCCTCTGTTGGAGGAGGGTAATGGCAATATCTGTGTTACTGGGCTACTAGGACTGAATGAAATGGGGAATGCAAAGTGATGAGGATGCTGTTAGCATATGGCAGATGCCCAGTGGCTAGCATTAGCCACATGACTTAAAACAACAAGCCTCTAATTGTCTCCTGAATGTGTGCTTAGTTATCCAAGCCAGGGACTAGGGAGTCATCTTAGAATCCTCTTATCTCTCTCTAGCCCCCTCACCCCCAAATCATCAAGAGTGGTCCACTCTATCCTATGGGGATTTAGTTCAGCTCTTCCCATTCCTCTACTAGGCTATGATCACAGAGGCTCATCTGGTACCTGGCTGACTCCAGACTCGTCCTTCTAATCCATCATCAATCCTAAGGCTTCTCAAATGTTCATGGGTATATGAATGCCTTCAGGAGCAAATTATGGCAAAATGAAGCTTCAGGAAGCCCGGGGATACCTCAGTTGGGAATACACAAGGCTGCCACTAGACAGCCATATTTGAGTGGCAAAGCTCTATACTTCACAAGTTCCCTTTCTAAAAGACCAGCCACATCATCTCAGTCTCTCGTCTGCAAAGCTTTGGTGAACACTGTAATTCTATCTAAACTATCCTTTTCACTTTCTTCTGTTCTAGCTCTACAACATGTGCCCTCACCACTACACTAGAGCTTCTCAAATGCCACCTGCTTCTGCCACTTCCTACCCTTGCTCAGGCTGTGTCCTTTGTGTGGAATGCCCTTCCTTATCCCCCCTGCTTCTCAGTGTCCCAGTCCTTTTTCCAAGACACAGCTTACGTGTCACCTCCTCCAAGAAGTTTTTCAGCCTCCCTGGCAAGATTTTCCAGGTTTACTGTGCTGTCCTTTTGTCTCTGTATTTACATCACCCTGGTGAGATGCATTCTATCTCATTGTAGTTACTTGTATATTCTTCCTTCAACTTAAGTTCCTTATCGTATCTGTCCTGTATCCTAAATCCTGACATCGGGCAGACACTCACTTGTGAGAGCAACAGAAACAGAGCCTGAGGTCTGCCTCACAGCCTGCCTGCTGCTGAACACATCATTACCCTCTGGTGGCAGGGTAACAGAATTTCTGGCACAATGTTTTCATTGAGTATGATATCAGATATCATACCCTAGGAAGGTATTTTGCTGAACCACATCCTCAGTGCATTGGCTAACGAGTTTTTGAAAGGCCCTACGAACTTCTTTCAAAGTGTGAGTCAGAAACACAGTCTTAGAAATCAAGACCACCAAAGGCCTTGCCAATCACCCCTCTATGTCTAGTCTCTCTGAGTCTCCCTCCCTCTGTGGAATCTGCCCAAATTCATGCAGAGTTATTTCAAGCCCATGAAGAAATGAAGGCAGCCTACCCTCAGGTTTCTCTCCCACAGCTGTGAGCTCAGACTCCTGGCTTGGCTCGCTGGTTCCATAGACGTTGACTGCACGTACTCGGAATTTATACTCGCGGTCAGGCAGCAGGTCTTGGACATTAAAAGAGGTGCTGCGGCACGTGGCTAGTTCTTTCCACATCTTGTCCTCAGTGTCCCAGATTTCAACATTGTAGGACTGTACGGCACTGCCGCCATCATATGAAGAGCCATACCAGGACAGGGTCAGCGAGGAACTCCGTATGTCCGAAGCACAAGGTGTGCCAGCTGGGGGGTCTGGCTTATCTGGAGATGAAGAAGTATAATGTCACTCAAGTTCTATAGAACTACAGAGAAAGAACTTCCCTCAACCCCAATGCTGAGAATAAAATCTAGGATGCCTCTCTCTCAAACACACATCCCACCCCAGAGTCAACCAGTCCTAAACTGACAACATTCTTGAATTAGCTCTGCCACGAGGAGAAACTGGCTAGTGAATTCAAGCTCAGTTCCCCATGTCTTGTTCTAACTTTTCACAACATTCCTGGGTTAGCAATGCACAAACTTACCAGTACTGGAAGTCCCATATATACCTTCCTGCTTGAAAGAAACTCCATCTTTGGCTAATTGTTCAGACCACAATTCGTGGTTTCCTGTGCTTTGTCCAAGTCATAAACATATTTTTTTTTTCAGAGTAAACAGATCTAGGAGGCTGTGTAGGAGCTGTGCACTATTTCCCATGAAAAATAGGTTTTGAGAGAAAGTTTTGTGTGTGTGTGTGTGTGTGTGTGTGTGTGTGTGTGTGTGTGTGTGTGTGTGTGGTCATATGTCTTTCAGGCTCAAAGCCAGAGACCTATAACATCACTTTCTCTGGAACTTGGGAAATGCAGTTCCATTAAGGGGCTTGATAGCACAGCAGAGAATTTCGTTAAGTCAGGTAGATCGGGCTTTGAACACAGATCTGTCCCCATTCTGTAACTATTAGATGCTCTGTGCCTCAGTTTCTTTATCTGGACAGAGTGCGGTGAGGCATTCGTAGATGGTGGTTGACTTGACCAATCATTATTACTAAGGAGCTTATTTCTAATCTTATAGTGGATGAAAACAACAACAACAACAACAACAAAAACCTACTTGTGTCTTACCTCTTTGTTGCTGTTTTGGATTTTGGTGCTGCAGAATACCACACATGCCAAACACATGCTTTACCATCAGGCATCAACCCTTACCCAACATCTTCAGCTTTCATGGGACTGGTATGCAAAAGTGAACCACAACTGTAAATCATCACTGTCCCTGACTAAGGGATAGAAAATGAAGACACAAAAGAGAAGTGACCCTTTTGGCCGGCTGCCTTCCCACTCAGATGACCTTGGCTTAGACCAGTAATGTTGCTCATTTCAGGCCACATCATGGCAGCCAACAGTTTAACGAGGTCCCTGAGTTTCCCTGCATGCTGTTAGTTGCTTATCTGAACAAAACTATTTTTTTCTGGTTAGTTTCTGCAGTGTTTGGTTAGTTACACGTATCTGTAAATTACAGAAAACCCTTCATCCTCAATCAACCAAGCTTGAGTTCCCTCACAAAATAGCAATTAAGACCACATTATGTGGATTTGTATGTGAATGCCAGTAAATTTAAGGCCAGGTTGTCTGTCTTTCTTACTGGGAAAACAGTGTTAACATGTACCTCTTAGGATTTCTGCAAATCCTGAGTAAACAAAGACAGACAGGTAAATAACTGACTTCTATCTCCTCTCTCAGTCCCAGCCAGACAGGAAGGCCCAAGGGATTCTGACAAATGACCCTATGATCCTGTGAAGAAACATCTGTATGTGCCTATACACACACACACACACACACACACACACACACACACACACACACACACACGCATGCAAATATAAAAGTACACATTCATATGTACACACATTCCTGTCGTCCCCTCCTCCATTTTAATTCTTTTCTTCTCTCTTTTTATTTATTCATTTTTTAAATAGGGTCTCATGACCCACAGTGGCCTTGAACTCATTCTCTAGTCAAGGATGATCCTGAACTTCGGATCCTCCTGACTCCGCTTTCAGAGTACTTTGATCAGAGGCATGTGCCAGGACACCTGGTTCATGTGGTGCTGGGGCCTCGAACTCAGGGTTTCATGCTTGCTAGACAGGCACTCTATCAGCTGAGCTCCACCCCCCAATCCCAAGTCTCCCTCTTCCATAGTCCAGCTTAATATGTACTGCCTGGAGTTCATTTGTGCCCAGAAACCAAAGGCTGGCTCTGCTCTGAGAGGGACTCTGGGATCATGTCACAGCCACCCCCCATCACTGCAGCCCGCGTCACAGGCAGGCTGGTGGCCTCCTGTAATGGAGACAGTTTCAGTGGTTGTTTAAGTCATGGCAGGGCCACTTCCCAGTGTCACAGTCATGCTGGAGGCCTCCTGCAATGGAACCACTTTCACTGGTTGTTTAAGATGTTCTCTTAGAAAATCTGTTTGTTCTGAAGGATATATTGGTCTTTTTAGAAACATTTCTGGTGTTGGCAAAGATGTTTATTATTCTAAATCCTCTTAGAGGCAAGTGGTTCAAGTCCTCTGGAAACCAGCTAAGGAAGTAAAAGAGCCTGCTGGGGGATGAAAGGTCCTCACTGTCCCCACCCCAGAGCTCCTGGCAGACTTAGTCATGGAGGTTTATACAAGTGAATGCACTGTCCATTGGCCGATTCCCTCCTCTCTGCTTTGCTTTAGAAAAAGACAGTTCTCAGGGCGGTGGTGGCGTACGCCTTTAATGCCAGCACTCGGGAGGCAGAGCCAGGCGGATCTCTGTGAGTTCGAGGCCAGCCTGGTCTACAGAGCGAGATCCAGGACAGGCACCAAAATTACACAGAGAAACTCTGTCTTGAAAAAAGAAAGAAAGAAAGAAAGGAAGGAAAGAAGGAAGGAAGGAAAAAAGAGAGAGACAGTTCAGGGAGATCAGTATTGCTCAAGAGTTGCTATGTGTACCTATCCTGAGACAAGCATCTCTAACTTACATGGGATGGGAGTTTCCCCGCAGGCAGCACAATAAGGTGCAAAACGTGGGCAGGGAGGCTTGCATTCCAAGTAAAAGTTGCCACTGTGAAGGAATCTGGTGCCTAATAAAGAGTTCAGAAGTCCCAGAAGTTTGGGATCCCTCCTCCATGCATGTCCTCAGAGATATGGGCTGTGTCTGACACTCTCTGTTCTTTCCAACCTACAGAGCCCACAGGAGTTGAACTGACCAGCGATGAGAACCCTTGGGTGGGTGGGACCAGGGTTCTCCCATGAGCCTCCTTGCTAAAGACAGGCACTTTCAGCCAGGGCAGTACATGGCAAACAACAGACTGGCTTGGTGTCTGCAGCTGGACCCACGCTTCCTCAGAATTCTCCCAGGGCTCCCTGGAGACAGGGCTGCCAGAATGGGAAACCCTTCCAAGGGAAGGCTTCTCATAGCTCCAGCTGCAAGATTTTGTGCTCGGTAAAGGGTTCCTATTGCTGGGGAAATGGATGACCTTGTCTGCAAGGCTTCCCACTAGCCCGGCTAACCCTTGCCCGCTTCGTGTTTGCCCACACCAAGTCTGTCTGCGAGCCTCTAAGCCCACCTAGATGGCTATCCACAGATCCCGCATTCAACAGCTGCTGGGCTGAGCTGCAGCGCACTCTTGGAAAGGGACTCTCCGAGGAGGCTGAGGCTTTGTTCACAGTGTGCTGGTTAGTCTTAACTGTCAGTCTGACACAACCAAGAATCAGCTGGGAAGAAAGTCTTCACAGGGAATTATATAGAGCAGGTTGGCCTGTGGGCACGTCTATGGGGAATGTCTTGATGGTGAATTGATGCCAGAAGACTCAGGCCATCGGGGATGGATGTCTAGCTTCCCTAGGCAGGGGGGTCCTGAATAGTATGAGGGGAAGAGCTAGCTGAAACCAAGAGGGTAAACCAAGATGCATTTAGCCTCTTTGCTCTTGACTGTGGGTGTAAAGGGACAGGCTGCTTAAGTTCCAGCCTTGGATGCCCTGAAATGATGGACTGTCACCCTGAGTTGTAAGCCAAATACCCCACCCCCACCCACCACCCAGGGTGTTATCAGAGCAAACTGGAACACTCACTGGTGAGCGACAAAGCCCCTGGGAGAGTCCCACAGCTACACCCCGACAGCTTGGTCCTCTCTAGGGCACCAGGCAGAATGAGATGAAGGGAGTATCTTGCTTTATAGGGATGAACCAAGCACCTCCGAGGAGTATCTCCTGCCCTTTCAAATACACATGTTTCAACCAAGCACCTCTGAGGAGCATCTCCCGCCCTTTCAAATACACACATTTTAGACTCAGAAGGTATTTAGTGTATGTTGTGTGTCTAGGGTTCTCTCTACTTTGTTTTTCTCCTTTAGAGTTAGATGGAGGCCTGTTTTTCTCATGCTGGGTGAGTGACATTAAAGAATCCATCTGGATCTACCGCCCCTCCACCCTCCTCTCCCAGGGCACACAGAGCAGTGGTGCAGGCGCAGGCCCAGACCAGGCAGCGTTGCTAATTCTTACACTGCTTCTTAAAATATTATAATAATTAGTCTCGGAAATAGCCAAGGATCCTTCACTGAAACTGAGGGAAGGGCTAGTTTTTATTGATTTGAAAATATGAATCATGGGTGATCTGAAAAGAAATAGCTCTTCAAAGAATATGCCATAAGAGATTTCTGCAGCGAATGAGTACATGTTTCATTTAACTGGCCTTATTTAGCTGGCCCATCAAGTGGATGCTTTTCAAGTGCTTGAAAACTGTCTGGAGTAGGTGGAACAATTTCTGTTTTATCTCATTTACGTTTACATCTACTTAGTAAACGCTGATCAGATAATATGCAGATGTCCCTGGAGACACAGAGGTAAATCAGCTTAATCCTGGTTTACTTTGGCCTAAGTCTAAATTCACGGGCTCTGAATGAATGTAGCTTTGCTGTGGCCATCAATACAAGTCCTCATTTTATTGAGTGAGTCTATTCTTAGCTCCAGGGTGGGGGAGGCAGACAGAAAGCTTGCACTCCATTCCATTCCCCTCCCAGGACGGCATTTAACATGTTGCTTCTGCCAGCTGGCAGGCGGCCACGCCGATGGCCCTGTCAGCACTGGCCGTGGAGAATAAGAAACTCAACCATAAAAGGCCAGAACTGCAGCTCCTTCCAGTGGGGCTGGGGGGGAGGGGCGTGTGGCACCGCACAGGGGCGGCCCCAGTGGGGGCAGGGGGCACTGGGTCCAGAAAAGCAGTCCAAAGTTTCTGAGCCCAAGGATACCCACACAGAGGCAGATGAATGGGAAACACGGAGGAAGAGCAGGTCCTCATGCCTGGTGGTAGCACTGGGGTGTGAGCCGATCAATACTTTCAGGTATGGGTCTAAATGTACAGCAAGTGGGATCGCCAGTACCAATCCCCCAAAAGTTCCTGACTCCTTGGGAAATTATAGAAATCAACACCCAGAGTCACCAAAGAGAGAAAGAGGGTGGATTGGGTTCTCCTTTAGGCGAGAAGCTCATTCCATGACCCCTTGGTACACTCACTTCCCAGAACCCTGATCTAAGGAAGCAAAGAGAGGGAGGGGTCAGAGGAAGAGGAAAGGAAAGGAGGGACCTGGGTCAGAGTGATGGGCACTGAGTGAAGACACAGACAGGGAGGGGAAGGACAAGAGAGAGCAGAGATAAATGGAGTCCGTGGTGGGAGTGTGCACGGATGCTCTGTGCTCTTGAACCCTCTTCTCTAAGAACTCACTCTTTCCTACTGCTTAGGGCCCCCGAGAGAGATGCTGCAAGGCTCCCCAGGGCTCAAGGTGGGAAATTTTATGGGGCACAAAGGTCAACAATTAACTCCCTAGCATGTGGCAGCTCTCCAGACTGCATGTCACCCAGAAGAGTTCCCCAGCCAGAGGTTTCTTCATCTTGGAGACATTCTTCACTCTTTGCCCATCCACAGGCCCATGGGTACCTCTGAAGGACAGGTGCTGGAGAGGGTGAGGCTACATCTCCCCGTAGTTTCCCTTCTAGGTTGGAAACATACCTATCCATCTTGAGCCTAAGGTGAGGGTATGAGATAAAGATGGAAGAGGAAAACTGGACTGAAGCCAAGGACCATACAGGGACAGAGCTAAGCGTCTAAGTCATTTCCAACCGCCAACTTTATCCCTGGAGAATTCCACAGACGGATTCCGATGCATGAGTTCTAACCACTGTGGCCCACAGTCCTTTTCTAAAATCCTTTTCTTCTGTAGGTCCAAGGCTAGGCTGTGAGCCCTGCTGTGAAGCTGGGGTGCAGTCTTCACACTGAACCCAAAAGAGATCCTTTTTCTAATTTTTACAAACAAAACCCTATAACCTTGAGAGTCAAGATTGACTGGAAAAACCACTCAAGTCTACTGTGCATGCCAATAAATACCAGGTCAAAGTCCTTCATGCACCCAATATGTGGAGGCCCACACAGGCACAAAACAGTCTGCTATCCACCTAGCTGCCCTTTCGTCCCTCTCCTGTCCTGTGCACCTGCCACATGGGGAACCATGACAGGAAAGGCACTGAGCATCACCCATGGGAGGAAAACACTGAGCAATTTAGATGTGTCAGAAGACGGACTAGGGCACCGGGATAGTTACTAGGAAGGGGACATGAAAACTTGAGACTCAGTCTAAATGCGGGTTCAACTTAGCGGGGAGTCACAGATAAGGAAAGGGGAGGGAGTTGGGATTGGGAGTCACGTGACCTCAGAGGAGCAGTCTCTGCAGACCAAGGGTCATGGAAGCAAGGGGCAGGTAGCTGCAAAGTGCCAGGGGAGAAGGAGAGGAGGTTCCTCTGCCACAGGGTTTGCCCAGGGTTGGGGGTGGGGATACAGAAAGCAGAGCAGGGCAAGAAGGCAAATCACAGGAGGGTAATTAATGCCTGTGCATGTGGCTAAGATGGCGACTTCTCTTGATGCCGTGAGGAACAGGAAGAGAATGAAAAGTTGAGTGAAGTAGGGATGGTGGAGCCCCAGTGGCCCAGGAACTGGACCAAAGAAAAGAACCTTCACAAAGGCAAAGGGGAGCCATTAGTGGCATGATATACAGATACCTGGAGGCCACCAAGTTCAGCAGAGTCTTGCCTCATGTCTTGTAGTTCTAAGTGAAGCCAGAGGGTAAGGGCTTTGTTTGTGTGTTGGGGGGGATGGGAAACATGTCTCAAGAAACAGCATTGGCCTTCAGGACAAGGACAAAGAGTTCTGAGGGGCACTGATATCTCAGCTAGCCCCGGGCACCCAGGGTATAGCTTGGAGTGTACAGGTGATATAATCTTCATGCTCCAATGCCCTGTGGAGGTGGCATTGATTCTGGGTGGCGATTTGCAGGGTATGGCCATTTGGATCAGCTATTACCCCATAAGTCTAGGGCATTTGGATATTTGGTTCCCAGTTGGTGGTTGTTTGAGGAGAATATGGAGGTGTGGATTTGCCAGGGGAAGTATGTCACTGGAGGTAGGTTTTGAGGTTTCCAAAGCCTTGAGCCATTTCAAGTTCGCCCTCTCTGCTGCTTGTAGCTTGAGATGTGAGCTCTTAGCTACCGCTCCAGTGCCATGCCTGCCTGCCGCCATGCTCCCCACCTTTCTGGTGATGGACTCTTGTCCCTCTAGAACCAAAAGCCCCAAATAAACCCTTCTACCCAAGCAATAGAAAACCTAACTGAGACACAAAGGGACTGAGATGGTGGTGGACATGAGGCAGAGGAAGCTTAGGTGCCAACAGGAGGACCTGGCATGGGAGGGCTCAGGGTCTCCAATGGCCAGGAAGGCAGAGAGGCAAGGAGAGGAAGGTGCTAGGGGCGTGAAGCAGAGGCAGGTACGGAGTCCTGCATCAGTTTGCATGATACTGTGTGAGAGTCAGGGACAGAGAAGGGAACTAGGTAGCAGAGAGGTGCTGATGCCCTGGGGTTCACGCCTTTGGCTTCCCCCATTCCTCCGCCTCCCAGCGGAGTGGTTCTGGGGCTTACCCACGACTGTGAGGTTGACTTGGGCCTGCCTGCTGCCCAGCTTGTTCTCCACCACCAAGGTGTAGCAGCCGCAGTGCTCCTGGCGCGCCGCCAGGATGGTGAGCTTGCTGCTGCTCTCACTGGTCTCCACCTTGATGTGCTCGCTCTCCTGGATCTGCAGGGAGAGGCGGGAGTGAAAAGGACGGACGGGCAGGACATGGGGGAGGGGGCAGGGGGTGTTCCATCTTGTCCATTGTGTGTGTCTGTAATGCTGCCACCGCTGGGGAAGCGGAGGCAGGAGGATGCCCGGTGCTTGCCAGCCAGTCAGTCTAGCACAACTGGTGAACTCCAGGCCAATAAGACATTTCGTCTCAAGGGAGGTGGACGGCTTGCCTGAGGATGACAGGGTGACACCTGAGATTGTCCTGTCTGTCTGTCTGTCTGTCTGTCTCTCTCTCTCTCACACACACACACACACAAATAGAAAAGAAATAAGCTAATAGGGGGGCAATTCATGCTACAGCACAGATAAATCCTGAAAACAAGAACAACACGCCCCCTCTCCCCAAAACCCCAAACACTGAGAGACAAAAGATGATGTGATAGGTTGCATGGTTCCATCTACCTGAAGTGTCCAGAACAGACAAATCCATAAGGATAAAATGAAGGCGAGTAATGGCAGAGAGTGGGGGAAGAGTCCATGATACTGATTTCTAGGGTGAGGAATTATAACGCTAGTGCTCGTACAATCATGTGCATTGACTAACATCATTGAATTGTATATGGTGGTTTTAATACCATTGAATTGTATACAGTGATTTTTAATGAATTAAAGTTAAAAATTTAGCCGGACACAGTAGCACAGGCTTGTGATCACAACTGCTCGGGAGTCAGATGGATCACAAGTTCAAGGCCAGCCTGGACAACTTAGTAAGACCTACCTCAAAAAGCAAAAAGAAGACAAGATATATATAGCTAAATGGTAGAGCACTTGCCCAGCGTATGTGAGGACTAAACCTAAAATTCAAACCTTAGTACAGGAAAAAAAAAATTGTAGTTCCTCATGGTGTTTTGAATGAAAGTGGTCCCCACAGGCTCATGTATTTGAATGTTTGGTTCCCGGTTAGTGGTGTAAAGTTTAAAACGTATGGCCTTGTTGGAGGAGGTGTGTCACTGAGGGTGGGCTGTGAGGTTTCAAAAGCCCATGCTAGGCCCAGTCTCACTCTCTCTGTCTGCATTCTGCGGACCAGGATGTAAGCTCTCAGCTACTGCTCCAGTGCCATGCCCGCCTGCCTGCCGCCATGCTCCCCAACTCTGATGGTCATAGACTTGCCCTCTGAAACTAGTCCCCAATTAAATGCTTCCTTTTGTAAGTTGCTTGGTCATGATGCTTCTTCACAGCAACAGAACAGTGACCAAGACATCCTTCAATTGTGTCAGCGACATTTCATGCACTCATCATACAGGGCCGGTGGCCATCACACTGGATAGCACAGATACAAAAGTTTCATTAACTGCAGAAAGTTTTCTACTGAATCTGATTAATTGGCTCTGGAAAGGGATGAGATTCTGCCTTATCCATCAGTCTAGGAGGAGCAGATCACATTTTCTTCTCCACCTCCACTGAAACCAGCTCTGTTTTCCCCTCAGATACTTGTGGCTCATCTCTTGGCTATGATAATTTTCATGGTATGGAAACAGTGAGAGGCTTACAAAGAATCCTCACACCTTCTGTAGGGTTTCTAATGCAGGACCAGGCCATTACTCTGGGGTGTCTGCTGATCACACACATGAGTACCATTACCCGGTGAAGAGCTGGGTCCTCCAAATTTCTCTACAAGCTGTTTATTTGGAAATTCAAATGCTTTCATAGGGAGCAAAATCATAAATTGTAACAATACTTCTAGGTCATTCAGACACAATTCTATTTAATATGTAATGTATGTCCCCAAATACCTAGGCTTGCTTTGATCTTTTGGCATGTGGTAAGTGGAAGCTGTAACCAGGTGGGAACCACAGAAGTGATGGTGTCTGAGAGGTCATCTGAGGGCTTTGACTTCCTGCCTCCAAAACCAATTCTATGCAGATGGACTCAGGTGAGGGCAGGAGTGACTGTATTAAACAAACTGCTTATAAAAACAGGGCTTATTGGTAGACGCAGAAGAAAAGACTAGTACGAACTCAGCTTTGGTGGTAGGTTACCTCTCCCATTTCATTCTTTCTTTTTTAACAATCCTTTTCTTTTTTCTTTTTCTTTTTTTTTTTTTTTTTTTTTGGTTTTTCGAGACAGGGTTTCTCTGTGTAGCTTTGCGCCTTTCCTGGAACTCACTCTGTAGCCCAGGCTGGCCTTGAACTCACAGAGATCCGCCTGGCTCTGCCTCCTGAGTGCTGGGATTAAAGGCGTGTGCCACCACCACCTGGCCCTTTTCTTTTTTCAATAACTGGTTTTTGTGATGCTAGGCACGTGTTCTACTATTAAACTATGTCTCTGGGCCTTTGTGCTTTATTTGGGCAGGATCCTGTAAGGTTGGCTGGGCTGTCCTGGATCTTACACTTCTCTTGCCTCAACCTTCCAAGGGCTGGGATTCCAGGCATGCACCACCATGCCCAGTGTGCATTTCCATTTCCAAAGGGGAGAAGAGCAATGCACTCTCTCCACTACAGCATCTCTGGTCTTTTTGGCCCATGGGCGATAAGTTGTCCTTAGGCCACCCTGCTTCCATGACTTACCTGCTTTCGGAACTTCATCCATGTGCAGGTGATGGGCTGGGTACCAGTCACTTTCCCAAACAGCTCCACAGGCTCTCCTGCGCGTACCTTCTGGTCCTCGGGGAACTGGATGATCTGAGGGGGCATAGCTAGGAGGGGGCAATTAGAAAGTGAGGAGGGGGCCTTAGACACGGGGGTCTCACTTCCCTTCTGGAATCTTCGAGATAAGAATGGAGGTACTGACCCCTGTTCCAAAAGACCTGAGTTCGGGGACCTTGCTAGCCTTGTTTCCTCTTTAGAACGCCCAGAAGTGACCCCCACACAATTTATACAACACAGTTCTTCATGGTGGGTTGTGGTGGGATTTGTGCCTCCCCCGAGGAATGAATCTCTGTCGCAGCTCATTTCTTAATTTTGTAGTGCCTTGCGACTAACCTTTCAGTCACCCTGGCTGGTAGGCTCAGTGTGTGGTTCGTGCCTTCCAATGTCTTCCCAGGGACAACAAATAAGGACATGCAGGGCAGGGCCTAAAAGCGGTATGATGTGGGCCACCCCTATGCAGGGTAGACTGGAGGACTGAGGCTGAGGCACCACTTAGCAGAAGGGACAGGAAAGCCACCAGCAGCCTGTGATACGGCACACACAGATGGAAGCAGAGGAAGGAAGCTGGAGAGGATGTGGGGAGATACCAGCTGGGCATAGGCTCCCGAGAGGAGAAAGAGGCAGCCCAGCATGTGGAATGTGAACAAGGGAAGGGTCTCTTGACCCATTATGGTCAGTCAGAAGGCAGAGGAGAAGGCCCTACGGCAGATGACCCCCTGGTCCTCAGGTAGGACTGTGGCTGTTACCTGCTTTTGTAGGTGTCTTGGGGGCAGGTTTCTTTTTTACAGTTGCATCACCTGAAACAAAGACGTTTACAAGTTATGGAGGTAAGAAGTCAGTTCTGTTTTCCCAGAGAGCTCCCAGGTCATGGGAGGATGTTGTCCCGCCCGCTGGCCCCTCATTTATGGAAAGCTCTCATTCTACCATGTCTTCCCATGGATCTCCTTGACCTACTACAGACAGTCTTATGAGCCAAGGAATATCAGTTTTCAAGGGCCGCTGTGGGGGCCTCTAGAACCAGTGAGATAGATGCTCTCAAAACTCTAATGCCCCCGCCACCGTCCTATTTAAAGATGATAACCAATAACTCACTAACTAAATGCTCACCATAACTTTCAAGAAATGCAGAAAGGAAATTATGTCAGATAAACCAACTAAAATTAGCCTTGGTATGGATCCAAGGGTCTCCAGCTTCCTTTGAGTCACAGACTGTGACTGGTAGCTGTTTCTTAAAAACAAAACACAACACAGAACAGCATAACAAAACAACAAAAATCTCCAAACCAAATGTTTGTTGAATGGGCCAATGAATGAATGGAAGCTGGGAGCGGTGACTCATGCCTGTGATCTCCGCCCTTGGGAGGTGGACCTGAGAGCATTGTTGTGAGTTCAAAGGCAGCTTGGGTGGCATAGTGAGTTCCCAGTGAGCCTGGGGTGCTAGACACTATTGGAAGTCCCAACCCTCAGAAATGAGTGAACGAATGAATGATATCTTGCAAACTTCCCTTCCCACTCCACGTTCTCTATCTCAACAAGAAAAGTGACTCATTAGACATGCCTCACAGCACAAATCTACTCATCTGGCTAAATAAAAACATGATACACAAGCAGAAACACCTGCATTATTTCTCATGGCTCGATTTCATATTTCTTTCAGGTTATTTTTAAAAATTAAGATACAATTACACCATTCCCCCTTCCCTTTCTTCCCCCCAAACCTTCCCTTTCTCTCACAATTCATGACCCCCCCTTTCCTTTAATTGTTGATAATTGATTTTTCTCCTTAGCTAAGAGAAGTCAGATTCAAAGGCTCCTTACTGTATAATCCTACTTATTTGACACGCTAGAAAGGTAAAACTGTAAGACAGAGACAAGATCAATGGCTGCCAGAGGTATTAGGGGAAGGGTTGACAAACTTCACGGGGGAGACCTAACTCGACTGGGGTGGCCGGTCATTAAATGACTACTCAAACCATTCAGGACTCACACAACTATGTACTACAGAAGATGTGCAGGGAAGTTACACTTTAATACAAGGGCAGGGGGCACGTTACCAAGGAGATCTGACATACGTGCCCTACACGAATCCTAGCCCTTGGGCTAGGTAGGGATTTAGCTCAGTGACTGAGTGCTTGCCTGACAAGCACAAGGCCCTGGTTCCCATTCCAGCACCACAGAAATAACACACACACATACACAGAGAGAGAGAAAGAGAGAGAGAGAGAGAGAGAGAGAGAGAGAGAGAGAGAGAGAAAGAGAGAGAGTTTGCAGCACTACTTACAGCTCTTACCCTGATTTATTAATCCTCCTTAGTACTTATATAACAAACTATATCTTCACTTGCTTTATTCTCTGCCCTTCCTTTCTCACGGAAGTACAAGATTTTGAGGTGGAGTGTTCCTGCTGTTCACTGTTATATATCCAATGTACCCGATATACAGCAGATGCTTAAGAACTGCTTGCTAAATGAATGAATGGGTGATGTTGAGTTACTTGGCTACCGCAAAATAGAGAGAGACAGCCCCGGGGCCAGGCATGGCTGTGGACCTGCTCTATGATCACCGGTGGTTCAGCTAACCCTGAGTATTTCCACAGAGGAGACGGTGCTGCCACCCAACTGATAATCCTGGGAGGACAAGTGAAAGGAGGGGACCCTGACAGAAACACCTTAGGACCATAGGGCTGGCAACTGTGGCCTAGTGGCTAAGTCTAGGGAAGAGGTCTGCTTCCCCTCTGGCTGGCTGCTATGCATGATCACTATCTTACTGTGGGCCTACTATGTGCTACTCAGTTCACACTATGAACCTGGGTACTGGGGGGAAAACCGAACAGATGTAAGAACTTGGCTCTAAGGTCTTAAACATTAGGCAGTATGGACCACAAGAAAGGCTTTTATCTCTCTTTTGCCAAAAAGAATACTTCTAGAACAGCTGAGAGTATTTGAATATTGTCAATAAATTAGATGATCGCACTGCATTGGTGTTTTTCTATTTTAATTATTATTAATGTAGTTTATAGAACAAGTTTGATTTTAGGAAAAAAACAAACATTGAACTATTTACATATTTAAGGTCTTATAGGTGTAATTTTCTTTCAAGCTGCTCGTAAGCATAATTATGTTAAGTATATATGTGCTTGTGTGTGTACAGAAGTAGAGAGAAATACAGAGAAAGAGGGAATGGTTGGGGAATAGAGCTCATTGGGGGGAGCACTTGCCGAGTGTAGTCAAGGCCTTTGGTTCAACCAGAAGCTACCCCTACACACACAGAAGGAAGAACACAGAAAAAGCAAAGAGTAAAATGTTAATATTTGAGGAATCTGGAGGATAGAAAAGAATTGTTTGTATTAAATCTTCCATTTTTTTCCTATAAGGCTGAAATTATTTCAAATTAAGAGTTAAATAGAAAGCTAAAACAAACAAACAAACAAACAAAACAGTAAAGGGGCTGGAGAGATGGCTTAGGCGTTACAAGCACTTGATACTCTTACAGAGTATCTACAAGTTCAGTATATAGCAACTACATGGTTATTCACAACCATCTGTAATTCCAGGTCCAGGGGATCTGATGCCTTCTTCTGGCTTCAAAGGTACAAGGCACACATGTGATACACACACACACACACACACACACACACACACACACACACACACGCACGCACACGCACACGCGCACACACGCACACGCTCGCCCAAGTACTTCAGAATGAGGCTGCCTCAGACACAGGGCCTTGGAAGAGGTGATTACATTAACATAGGTCATTGGGGTGGGCCCTAGTCCAATCTGACTGGTGACTTCACAGAAAGGGAGGAAGAAGAAAGGAGGAAAAGAAGGAAAGGGGGAGGGAGAGGAAGAGAGAGTAGGAAGTGGGGACAGGGAAGGAAGGAGGGGGCAGGGGGACCCAACTGAGCAGACCTACATACACACACAGAAGGAACCATATGAGGAGGGAGAAGACAGCCATCTGCAAACCAGAGGACAGAGACCTTGATCTTGGGTTTCTGGCCTGTGTTTCAGCCACTCCGTCCACCATCTTGCTATGGCAGCCCTAGCGGATCACTGTAGCTAGCTGTCGGTGAGATCCTGCTGAGAGGGTGGGAGTGGATGGGAAGGAGAAGACAGTCCCTGGGGTGTGAACTGGGGGTACACAAGAAGGAGGACAGTGTGAAACCAGAGGCTACCAAGTCCCCCCCACTCCCATGCTTGTTGGGCCTGCAAAACCTATGTGGCTAGAAGCTAGCTCCAAACAATAGATCTTTGAATGTTAGGGTTAAATAGGATTGAAGGCCATGTTTTAAATTTGTTCTATAAATTTGTGACTACTGCTGTTTGCATTTGTTAGCATTTGAAGCTGCTTTGGTTCTACCAGCAAAAACAACTTTAAATGTCAACAATGTTCTGTATGCTATAGATATTCCATATGACCATCTGTGGGAATCCATTAACGGTGTTCTGTGGATGCAGGAAAAGCTGAGTCACAGGATTCTAAAACTTGGTTTCTTGGAGGAAGCGTCTCACAGGTGTGCTACTCTGAGCAAATGCAAGCAGAGCGCCTCACCGCGTTTCGATCTCATGAAGAGGGACCTGGGGTCTCACCTAAGTCTGGCAGCTTCCCAAGCTCATGAAGCCCTATGTGGCTCGGCTAGAAACAGAATCACTGGCCATCATGTATCTGGCTGCTCTGCTACTTTTGGCACACCTACTCCACCTTGCAAGGCAAGCCTTTGAAACCTTTCTCTGTTCCTGTGCAGAGGGGCTAAGGCTCTGGAGCTGGACTTGGGTTCAAATACTACCCCATCATGAGCTAAGTGGAGGGGCTTAAAGCACGTTATATAACCTCTAGGCACTTCAGTTTCCTATGTAAATAGCAGTCTGGGGAAGGCTAACAAGTTGGTTCAGTGGGGAAAGGTGCTTGCTGCCAAGCCTGATGACCAGAGTCTGATCCTCAGGGCTGACCCAGTAGGAGTAAACCAACAATCTCAAGCTGTCCTCTGACTTCCACAACAGAGCCATGGCATGTGCACACATATGTATGCATACATAGCAAACAAATAAATGTATGTAATAAAAAATCTACAAAACAAGTTTGAGAAGTATAAATAATTTTTTTTTTTTTTTGAAACAGAAAAATACAGCCCACAGTGCATGCTCTGCACTGGTCCCTTCCCTACTCAGCCCTCTTTCCCAAACAAGCAGATCCCAAAGGACTTCTCCGCCCTCTGAGACAAATTTAGCTCCTCCAGTTATTCGGAATGTGATGGTTAATCTTGATTGGAATCACCTTGGAGACACCCCCCGAGTAGGTCTGTGAGTATGTTTCCAGAGAGGTTCAACTAAGGAGAAAACTCAACCTGGATGTGGCTACTACAGGGCAGGGGCACTGACTGAGTCAGAAGGGAAGGGAGCTGAGCACCAGCATCACCTCTCTGCTTCCTGACCTCAGATGCAATGTGATCAGCTGCCAATGCTTCTGCTGCCATGGCCGGAGCTGCTCTTACCACTCCGCTGCATCATGATGGACCCTGTCCTCAAACTGGGAGCCACATAAACCCTTCTTTCCTTAAGTGACTTTCATCACATATGCTATTATAGCAAAGAGAAAAGTCACTAATGCCGTAACTGACCCTGGTGGCCCACTCAGCTGGCATCCTCCCGTGAATTCCATGTCACCACACCTTACTGTCCTCCTCAGCTCAGGTCCCTAGTAAATGTTCTTGTTGGTCCACAATTCTCAGTAGAGATAAACTGATCACTAGTGAGTTTCCACTTCTCCAGACTCACCCTTATTATCTTATTAA